CTCTAGGAGGTGGGGTGCATGTCCTACGGACAACTGATACATAAGCTGTCAGTGACTGTGCACATATAAGCACTGTGCGCAAAACGAAGTCGGTGTGTCCGTACTGTGCACATAACGAAGGAATACCATCTAACCCATTTCAGCTTTCTTTTTGTTCAGTTCTAAATTTGTATCCAGATTCAATCGTAGCTGCACGTGTGTTGGCGAAACAAGTTGGCATTAGTACGACATTGTGTGAAATGCTGAATGTCTTGATTGAGAAGTCCCAATAAACCTATCCATAGAATTGAACATGTTGGAAAATCAAGTCAAAACAGTGTTTTCTGGTTTTCATCAGACTTATACTAGCGAGTTTGTTTGCCTGAAGGGCAAATGCAATACTTACACCTTCGGTGTTCGACGATGTAATTCAATTAGCTCATCTGAAACGTCTTTTTGGCGTTCGCACTTTCAAGTGGAGAAACTCCCTGGATTTTCGTAGTTTCCTATTGTGACGTCACTGCCAAGTTAAGATTCGCACCATGAAGTAAATATCCATCTCGTCTCAAAGCACCGCAGGTTTTTCCTGAAATCAGTGTCCTAGGAAGTACTTATGTGCCAAATTTCAAGTCATATTTACCGGATTCGCGAGGGAAAATAAAATTTTCATGGAAAACGTCCGCTCTGAAAAATTTTCCCGGAGGGGATATGCCTCAAAAGTAGGATTTTTCCTGAACTCAGCACCCCATCAGCAATTTGTGTATCAAGTTATCAAGTTTCAGTTTCCTATCATGTCTAGAACATGGTTAGAATTACCGTCTTTCACTCACGGTCGTTTATATACCTCGTATATTAGATACTGTAAACAGAGTGGACTGACAAAATCCAGATCTATCTGGAATTATGTAGAACGTCATCTAAACATAGCTGATGGTGCCAATGAAGTTAACGTGACTTCTTAAGGGCATGCTTCCTCCTGCTTACTGAATTCAAATTAATGCGATTTTTTTCAACAATGCTAATAATGCTTTGGGGCAAAGGTAGATACTGATTCTGTTTTATTTTTACTTTAACTCATGGAAGGTAAGTAAAGTCCATGAAGGTTAACATACCGTTAGTATGAAGAACGCTGAGAGGGTCACCTTGGCCGCAAGGTAAGGAGCATTTATGTAAACAATACTGGAAATGAAGACTCCTGTGTTTGTTAAGAGAACAGGCCAGGATTGAATCAGCAGCTTCTTCCTGTATATGGACAGAAGTGGATAGTATTTAAAATAATTGTATAAAATACATATTTCAATACATTTCAGGTACTTTGTATTTAAATACATATCACAATATATATTTGTATTTTATATTTAAAATACAATTCTCTGCAAGAAAAAGTATTTTGAAACACATTTGACAAAAAGCCAAATAGTTTTTATTTGGTACAGTGCAACTTCAAACATGGCTAGCTCAGCAGGTTTGCCTTCTTTATTGAGTGGGAAGTTCTTCAGTATTGTTGAACGAGAGAGGGTAGAGGGTCAAGGTTAAATGTGCTGCATGATCTACAGAGAATGTGATTAGTAGAACTCTAGCTGCAACATCCAACTTCTTCATACATTTGAAGGTTGATTGTGTTGCAATATCTTGGTGCGAATATGCTAAGCTTGTCCTTGGCCCAAGCAAGGTTTTTAATTTGTGATGTATTGGTTATCATCCTTAAACCTATGCCTAGTGCAAGCCCGAATCGTGCCAATGCAGGTTAATATTTATGTTCTTTGCTTTCAGAGACTACATTCAGATCTCGTTGAGGATTATGAATGGTATAATGGGGAGCAGTCTGGGATTCAGAAAGGAAAACAGAAATAATTCCATGCTCAGGCTATGTGCTGTAAAGGCCAATGGTCAGAACTTCTGAAGGGTTCTTGATTTTGGACAAAATCTGAAAGGCACCAAGTAAACTTTAAAATGTTTATATTTTGTATTTGATATAATATTATTGGGCTGTATTTATATTTTGTATTTACAATACATTTTTTCGTGGGCATTTGTATTTTGTATTTAAATACTCAATCACTTGTATTTTGCCCAGTTCATCATATGGAAGTATGGCATGGTCCCTTGATTTTCTTTGGAAGTGAAGAAGAAATCTTACACGTGTTTACCTTGTCTCTGCCAAGAGGGCCTTAGCTTTGTCTTCGCCGTTTGCAAACTGTTTCACAGTCATGAAGGCGATGGAGAAGAGCCAACAGTGGATACATAGAAGTAGTGCATAAGGAACAATGGTGGTATGAAAGTACATGCTGTCAGTTGTCAGCCACCAAGACTGCAAATCCCATCCTTGCATCTCTTGAGCAGATATAGTGGAAAATGTAACAACGCATGGAAGCCCTGAAACCAACGGGAAGCATTAATGATCATTTATGCATGTGAGACTAGTATTGAATTACTGGTTCTTGAGAGAAAAGGCAACAAGGAATGGAATGAGTAATCTCGTATTTAAGTTGTATACATTTTTTCTTGTTATCTTCATAGGGTGCTGGAGATGAAGTTTTGTACTGTACTTTGCATGGGGTTCGTGATGAAATGGCTGCAAAGCTCAAGAAAAATGTTATCTCCACGAGGCCGCCTGCTTCTGTTGGAGTTACTCAGGGTTCACGTTAACTCGCTATAGCGAGTCCCCGACTCATATTTTCTTGGAGGGACTCATATTTGCAACACATTTAAGTCCATGGGACTCATTGACAACTACCTGAACATGTTCCCACTGAGCTGAAGCTAGCGGCCGGGACTCAAGATTTAAAAAAGCTAGTGTGAACCCTGTTACTGATATTCTGCCTTCATCAAAAGAGAGCGATATTTCACATTTCATACTCACCCACACTAATGGCGAAGACTTTCAGCTTTCTGCGATTAACAGGCTGAACAGCATGATCTTCAACGTAAATGAGAAGAGATCGGGATAATTGAGCACTCATGGTGAGTATGAAGAAGAAGGCAAGGATCGTAATCACGTAAGGGTAGGCACTCTGAAAATGAGATGGAATAAAAAGTGTTGCCTGGATGGATTCACTATTTATTTAGCCCTGGACATCATGGTCTACTTCATACTGACTTGTGCTAATGAAGACCTGGCCGAAAATCCAACAGTTGCAGATATGACGCTGATAGCCAAGACTTCCTGCATCTTGGATAGGGAGAGGATATTTTTGTCTTGCCACCAGTGAACGACGAGGATGAAGAAAGAAGTTGCTTGAAACAAGAATCCAAGAAAGCATCCACCTATGACCTCATAATGGAATCCCCATTCAAAAATTGGAGCTTCCTAGAAGGGAAAGGATTATCGTTATTTCAAACACCTCCACCGGCATCTCTAACTGAAGAGGTTTTTTTCGCGACCTGCATGCGGTCAGACATTGCATATGGATTGAGTTGGACCTTCACTAGCACTGCCAGGGACACGAAGTAAAAAGTCATCTGGTCAAGAAAGCACGTTAGAATTATTTCTGCTCACCCATTCAGTGTAATCTGTGATTAGAAGAGCTACTATTCCGAGCCTTGGGCAGAGACAATGGACTCTGTCCTTGTCCTGCAAATTATATATGCACATAGTATGATTCCACTTGGGGGCGTGAGGACGAGTGAAGTCTCCCATACCGCAAAATCCAGTCCATTTGGAGTCATTCAAACGAGGATCTGTGAGATAAAAAGATTAAGACGTATCGCCAATCGCACAATGATCAGAAAAGGAGACAGAGTAGCAAAGACCAACCGTCGAGAGGAAATGTGATAGATAACTGAATCCCTCCTGGAACATTTCCAAGTTCTTGTCCTTCGCGTTTCATGCTCACTTGCACCACTTCCGAGCACAATTCGTACTCCATATCTTCCCAACCCCTATGAAAAGTGACATTCATAAAAGAATAGTAGCATACTGATGGGGACAAACTCAGAACTCATCTGGAAGGGTGCAAATATTTCTCACACATGCCGCGTGACGTATCTCTTGGGAAGAAGAGCTGAGAGATTGGTGTAGAAAATGGTAGAGGCGATCAGTGCTGGAGATTTCGGTCCAACGGGATCAGTTTCCAGTGCATAGAATGAGATCTCCAACCGCTCTTTCAAATACCCTGGGATCCTGTCGGAGGTAGTGTTGTAACTTTTCCTCTCAAGACTTGGAAGGAAAACATCTGCTTACTTTGCATCGATGGGGGGAACAGGAACCTTCTGCCTTCCTTGGGCTGCACGAAGTGGGAAGGCGTAGGCTGTGAAATGAGATTCTCTCACCATCGTCACATTCAGTGTATTAGCAGCCTCCGTCATCACATGATCCTCCAGGACTCTCGTCAATCTCACAGTCTTCTGAAAAACGAAAAATAAATCGACAGGCATCTGACTGGAATGCTACTGGTAACCTTAGCGGTGAGAGTAACTCACGTCATTGTGAAGAATTGAAGACGGATTGGCGAGAAAGTATTCAATGACGTTATAGAAGTTCTTCGATGAGCTTAGGAAGCTATCCCAATGTTTGAAGGTCTTCATATACTGGTCAACCCTTGCCAAAAGGGAAAGAATCTGTTCTCCTTCCCCCGGATTGATTTTACTTCTTGATGAGACCTCCTTCCAGATGAACGCCGATACGTCTTCGGCTTTCACTACTTGATAACCCATCTCCAGTAGTTTCATCTGGAGGATGAATCTATGTTGAGGAAATGCCGAATTCCCTGCCCATCTTAACCCTGTGTACCACGTAAACCTCACGTTTTCCATGAGTTCGTGCATCGAAGTGGAGATGCAGCCAGATGAATCCACTTCTCCCCACACGGATGGTTCCAGCACGGACCTCAAAATGCATTTTCGTTTCATGATCCCAATCGAACCCCCAGGACAAGATACTGCTGCCTCGTGGTTGGTGGCTGTTTCAGACCATTTCACTCCAGAATGAATGGATTCTTGACAACTATTTTCGAGTTCTGGATCCAGGACTTCAACCCGAACAATGGTCGAGCTCTCCCCGGCTCCATTCACAGCAATGCAGGCATAGTTTCCACTACTCTTCAGAGGAATGACATTTGGAATCGTAGGTGAGACACTCCGAATACGCAGAGAATTCAGGAAGCCTTTTTTACCCTACCGAAATGTTGTAGATTTTGAGACGAGATCCATCTGGATACAGGTCTTCGATCGCATGAGACGCACCTGGTGTGATAAGATTTCCGTTCTTGGCCCAATTGTAGCCTCGAACTCCTCTTGGGTCATTGTTGGCTGTACATGTAAGTACTGTGGACTGCCCCTGCGAGCCCAAGGACCCATTTTGTTACAGTTTGAAAGGTCCTTAATGTGGAGCTGCTTACGTAGTCTTGACCGTCCTCGAGAATCTTAAGTCGATACGTAAAAGCCGATGTTTTCGACCGATGAGCATCCGACGTGATTGCAAGCTTAAAATTGAACTTGAATATCTATAGCCTCATGATGGCAACGGTGTGACTGTGCCGTGCATGTCATTTTACCTTTAGAGTGCTTGCAGAGCGAAGCTCTTGTGAACTCAAATCTAAGTGCATCTCCCAGGATGCTCATAGCTCTATTGCCAGCACCTACCGCCAAAGCCAATCGAGGTATGCGTATTGACTTAATCCTCAATATACTTCTTGTTTGCCACAAGCACATTATGGACATTGGCTTGTGCTCTTCAAAATCGAGGTTTAGACTTGGCAACTGTTTGAATGTGATCCAACCTTTTGGAGTGTGAGGCTGTACGGGGTGAGGTGGATGGATGGAGGAATGTCCACGCTAATCATGATGGACCTCTCTTGAACGTGGCCCCAGTCTTCGACCCTGCATGTGAATAAACCCTCGTCCAGTTCCATCACGGCCTCCAGCGTCAGGATAGACGTGAATTCATCCGCGGAATTCTTCGGTAGCACGGTCATCCACGATTTCCTGAAAGCGAATCGAGACCAGCTCGGCTCTACGTCATGTGATTTTGAGGGGTCATGAGAAATTGATCCTGAAAGGCTTTTGTACCTGGAAGTCTGGGTGACATTGATGGGAGCATCGTCTTTGAACCAATTGAACTTCATCTCTGTGGATCCTGCGGCGATGCATTTCAACGTCAGCGAATGACCGCGTTGAATAGGCAGGCTTTGTTGCGCTGTCAACCGCTGAAGAAAAATCGAATATTCATACCCATACTTTCTCCCATTTCTAAAGGTCCGCCAATGATTGTGCATATCTTCCTATTTATACAGCACCTTGAGGTTTAGCGAAGGTTCCCTCTCGAACCAGATATACTGCGAATCGATGCTGAGGTTCCCCATCGCCCCTCGAGCCACAGCTTGGGTGATTGCATTCATTGCCAGAGCACTCTCCCATCGATCTCCAAAAAAGTGGAAATTTGCAACGGCCCCAGGACTGGTAGAGAGAAAAAGAAAGTACTGGCGATGGAATAGTCCGTTTATATTGCTCGAAAGCAGCTGAAGTGCTAAGAAGCTAAGAGATGTATCTCAATGGTACTCAACCCATGTTGTAATGTGAGGAATTTGGTGTGTGTAATGGGAGATGGTAGCGGTGCCCAGGGGTTCTGCACCCACGCAACAAACGGTTTGGAAAATAAAATAAGTGGATTCCCACTCACACACATAATTTCTCAAATATTTATTAAACATTAGAATCACGAGAATGAACATTAGCAAGAATAAGAAAATTCGAACTGAGATCCAAGTGAAGATCCAAAAGCCAGACAAGAGGCCTCAGGTTCCAGGAGAATTTTGCCAATCATTTTTAAAGTACGACTGGACCATGGGACGTTCTTTTTTCGGGGCTATTAGGTTCACACGTGATATTTTGGAAACAAACTGATGAAAATGAGAGAAAATGTAGAACCGGTGTCCATTTAAATTTTAACCTCAAAACCCTCAAGTTTGGCTGACAAATTCCAACGACCTGAGTTGTCTTCTCTGCGATTTTGAGAATGCCCTTTTTGGGAACCTTTTGGTTCACACCCTTCCTCATTCAGCCACCTTACAATATCATTACGAACCGATTCAATTTTTCCCAAAGTGCGGTAGACAGCCCCCCCCATTCTTCCCTCTGTCCCCACCCTCTAACATATGGATTGAAGTAACTGTCCCATGATGACGGGCCGCTTACAATGGAGGCGATTGCAGGCTGGGGACAAGGTAAGTGACTTTTTTAAATCTTTCAATTTACCGGTTGTCTCGAGGATAGGCAAAATGCTAATGAGGAACCGACACCGGTCCGGGAACTGGCGGTTGACGAACGCCGAAGTAGCCCACATAAATTCAATTTTGAATTGGCATATTATTTGCAATAGCAAGGGACATGATTCATTTTCAAGCACACTCACTGGGCAAGATTCCCCTGACTTGTGTCCCTGCTCTGTTTCGCGAAGAGGCCGAAGTTGAAAAAGTCTAAACTGAACCATTTGTTCCAATGCTATCTTTAAAATAAAAAAGTTCTCAGTGGGTTACACGTCGTTGATTTTTTCTGAACTCTTCCGAACTAATGTGGAGTTAGACTTACCCGAAATTGAGAATCGAAAAATTCGTGGCACTCGATATATGGGATTTCAAGAAGTGGAAAATGTGCTCTCCCAAGTTCTCCTTGAGACCGAGATATTCTCGGGAAGAATTGTTGACAGCGCTCAAATCCACGTGCATGTTTCTGATCTTGATTCCGCTCAGGAATCGAGTCTTTCCTTCCGAAAGAAAAAGAGTTTTGAATTCTCGACACGGCTCAGTCCGTGCTCATCGTATCACTCGTTTACGCATGTAAACGAGTGATAAGATGTATCGTATATATACCTGTATCGATGCACGTCACGTTATCGGATGCTAGCTCGTATTCCTCGTAGCACGTGCAGGAGGCGTTTCCGTCTGGGAGCCAGACGCATAACTGGGAACAGTTCAGTCCATTTTTCTGGCATTCTTGATGGATAGAGACAATGAAGAGGATTGATGCAAAAGCATTGCCATGATTCCAAAGCGAAACGAGGCAAGATTAGGAACGTTGTTAACCTTGCGGGATGTCTCCCTGATGCTTGAATTCGCATCTGTCCCCTAAATAGCCAGGTCGACAAATACATCTCACTTCCGTAGATCCCATCATGTACCTGAGAAAATATATGCAAAAATACGAAAGTGCCGCGATGTCGAGGACAGAATCATGTAAATCTGAAGTTGAAAAACCTTACCTGCATCTGCCGCCGTTCATGCAAACTTCGATGTTTCTCTCCGGATCACATTCTGGACCGAATTGACAAAATCGGCCGAAGAACCCGCGGAAGCATCGACATATGAATTTCCTACGTCAAGTAGAAAATTGAGGAAATGTTTTTTTTTTGTAATTTTTTCCCTGTTGTACAAACAAATGAGTCTATACGACGTAAATTGTCATAGTTCCACACCTCATGCCGAGTATGCTCAACTTGCACTGAGACGCTTACGCAATTAGGCAATAGTTGATTATCTATAGTGCAACAGAGAGAGGAACGCCCGCCCTGATGATGCTGTGACACGCGATAGACGTTTTGATGGATTGATCTCCTTGCCGTCGACTCACCAAACTGGATCTGTGAAGCCTCGCCACCTCGGAGGCCTTTCTTTTTGAAACTCTCGCCTGAATCATTTCGACACTCACTCGCATAATCCATTTTTGGTAACATCGCTAAAGCGCCGATGGAGACTGCAGAAGCATCAGAGCCTGTGAGCGAGCTCGAAAGACGTGATGATCGATTGATTTCTCCTGCTTAGAGACACCGATACATGGAGCAAAAGGAGAAAAGCATTTCTCGGCAGAGGACGGTGCATGCATCCTCACCTGTAGTTGTGCGTGACGATGCATTCCCCGTTGAAAGAGCAACTGGCAGCGGAGCAGGCATCTTTCCGAGGGCTGCGATCGGTTGCAAGGGTCTCGTACGTGATGTTGAACCCGTAGACATCGAGGAAATGCTCCGCCACCCGGATATTCGCATTTTCCATCGAATACAACTCCAAATTGAGAACCAGGAACGGCATGTCGGCGGTGATGGTCGGAGAAGCATCTTCTGCGGACACAGTACCTAGTTCTTTCCTGCCTCGGAATATGGATTCGTCCGAATAGTAATAGTAGGACTCGATGGTGAAGCCCTCCTTGAGGTAGAACTGCGTCAGATAGAGGGTGACGGTATGTTTGGTCCGGGCTTCGATGATCCACCGACACTTGATGGGAATGGGAAAGGGTTGAGGGAACCGCGGAGTCGAGATCACACCTCGGGTCTCCGTCAACGTTCCTCCGCACTCCCGAAATATCTCGACACAGTGACACCGCGAATGTAGGACGAACACGAAGCAGAGGATTCGAGAGACAGTCCCAGGCATGTCTATCATGTCGGGACGAGAGGCTGGATGTGACTGCGACGAGGAAGGAAGATGCGGTCAGATGTTGATGGTGACAGTCACCAGCACATCATTCCGATGCCCTATTTCCATCTCTGCTCACCTCTGCGTCTTCCTAAAGGGCTTTCCCTTGTTTTTCTTTCTGCCGTGCCTGGCCTTGCCATGCGACCGTAATTGACAGCTCCTCTCATTCGAAGGCGAATGACATGACGCCTCACGACGACGGGATCAGCGATAATCATGACCCTTCATGTTTATCAAGCATCTGTTGACTCACATATGAAGAATGTACGAATTACTGACTTTGAAAGAAATTGTTGTGAGTTCGTGACCAATCGCCATCCTGCGAAAGAACATGACTTAGCTTGTCATTGAATTACATCCTCTGAAAATGTTGAATATGACTGACCCATGCCATCAACTTCGTGATTGAGTGAACGTGCGGCAAAAAAGTAGCTCCTCGTGAAGATCGCTTTTGTACCTTTTTCTGAAACTGCATACGATTCTGGCAACAACTGGGCATTAGGCAATTTGTGCTCTTAAGGAAATCATTATGACATTCATTAAGTTTGTACCTAGGAGATTGTTATTAGGTCGGCTTCTTTTTTTCGTTTCTTGCCCTCTGTCGTACGTTGTATTCGTTCTTAGATGACATTTCGAAGACTGAATAATTGATAGGGAAAGTATGAGATTTGTCTCCCTGTAAGTTCCATCGAAGAAATAAAAGAGTTTACATGGCACGATCATACGTTGTTATCTCATTTCGGCGCAGGGACCCCTTTCGATTGGGAGTGAAACCATAGGTACTTCAAAGTACCTCGATGACCGTAAATATGTAAATGAGAAAGAGGAAAGGGTTTTGTTCCTGGATTGATTCAAGAAGCAAATGGTGCTAAGTATATTTTGGGAGTGAGAAATGGGGGTGGCGTTTAAAAAAATACTCCCCGAGATTTTTTGTGCTTATTTCTCTACTTCCAGATGAAGCAAAATCCTACAAATCATACCAGGTACACTTCTTTCTTTCCTCTCGGATCCATGGAAACTGTGAATTTCTAACCACCAGACTAACCCACTGTAGTTGCTCGATTAAGGCACCTCGAAATTTTTCATAAAAGGAATCCACCGATGGCGTCATGGAGTGCGCCATCCTTGCTCCGAAATTCACCTGAGAAGCCATCTGGTTCGTTCTTTTTTACGAAGGAAACTTCTTTCGTCAGTGGGCACTTCGCGCATGTAAGAGAATGAGCTATCCGATCGTACAAAAATTTCCCGTCGATGCTGTAAAACTGCGGATGTTCATCACGCAAAAGTTTTGCATCCTTTGGAGGGAATTAAATATCCCCTGGACCCTCTCAAGGTCAAGAGTTATTTCCACGAGAAAGGCAAAATTTGGATTTCTGGCTTTGCGAAGGGTAGGACTGAAATTGACCAATTAATCATGAAAAGAGAACTGGGCTGCATACTACTGAACCTTCTAATCGTATTCCCAATGAAAGTTCAAATATCCAACCAAGTCTAAGAAATTATTAATTAATTAAATTAGTTAATATTTGTAATTAATTAGAAATTATTTTTAGGAGTTCATGTGAGTGAAACGAGCCAGTTTTCGCTTCGTGGTGATCTCTCTCAAACAACAAGGAGCTCGATCATCCGTCGCGGCGATGTTCGCGAATGTGGAACACCCGGCAATATTTGGACATCTGTGTTTGTTCCATTATCAGCACCTCTGGATTCCGATCCGCTGCCGCAATGTCGGGGTGAAAGGACTTGGCCATCCTCCAAGAATTCTTACAACTTCTGGAGGTTTTGGTCGTGGAAAGCGAGCGCAGCGGAGTGAAAAGAGGCGTTTCACAAGGGCGCGCATGGACCTGCGCATCCAAAGTGCTTCCTGCCCTCGCTTCCTCATCATCCTCTTGGAAAATATCGCACGCTCCGAGCTCAATGCGGGGTGGGAGGCTTCAAGTGGAGATGGAAATAGGAGAGCCTGGTGTCGAATTTTCGCTTTAAAGTGAACGTGGAAATGTGGACGAGCTCTGTGTCTCCTCGCGAGGGACATCACGAGCAGGTTCTGTGAGTCTCGATTCTCTATGATCCTGTTTAATCGGGTCCGTGAATCCAATATTTGCATTTTTTTATTCGTGCAGCTATTCTTCACTGGTAATTTTGTGAGGTTAATGTCTATACCAAATTCTGTCCCGATCTAATATGTCCATGAGATCGTCTGAAATGTCAGTAACGTCACCCCACCCTGATTTTCTCCCCAAGTTTCATAATCCTTCCACAAAGACTTGCATTATCGATTTGTTACTACTAAGCATGTTTGATCAACACGCTGTCGTCTTCAGTTCGTCCACCTAACTCTTCAGTTAAGACATCGGCAACGTGGCCACTATAATATTTAATACTAGCAATGGCTATTCGTGAAGACTGAAGATATGATTTCCCTCTTGTGCGGGATCCCAATCTGAATTGACTCCGCCACCCCGAGGCTTTCAAAGATGTCCTCTCTGATTCCCAGTGACACCCTGGCATTCATGGAGTGTTCTTAAAGTAAGGCGAAGGAATCTCACAAAGGCTCACTTATCTCTATATGCGAGGTCAGACTACTTTCATCCGATGAATGATGACGCAGAGGAAAGACGTGAATGGGAACGAATTGCCTGGCGTAGAGTGGATTCTCACGCAGTTGGCAGGTCATCAAATTACGCGGGCGCAAGTCACGTGACCCTTAAGTCTCCGGCCAATCAGTCTGAAGGATTGCTTCCATTACACGTTCTTGAGAACACAACCAGTACGGATCCTACACGTGCCAAACGCAGCCTCACCAATTTAAAATGGGTAGCGACATTATACCTCACCCCGCACGCTCTAGATTCGGGTCGCCAAGAATCGAAGTTGGTCACTTAAATTTTCGCAGTGTGAACGGAGTTCGTTAACGATTAATTTCTGGAGTGTCGGTAACACGATGGATTGACGCTCCTCTCCAACGAAAAGCATATTCCGCCATACGGAAGCTCCATTTTCTGATCATCTCGGAGACTGACGAAGCTCTCGTGTGTCTAGCATAAACTCCGGATGGAGATGAGGAATTCAGAGAGCTCATGATGCTTACATCTCATTTGCTCTGACTCTCTCGTCAAGTGTTGGAGCAGTGAAACGTCCTTGACTGGATACACACCCCCTCTCAGGTCCGTATTGTGCTGTCATGCACTTCATACGACCAGTGTGCACGAGCGTATGCGAATGCGCCTATGCGTATCACCGTGAACCTCTGAAGCTTTAGAAAGGAACAGATCTTAACATGTGAATCGGGATTTGATGTAGGCGAGGGATCAATAAAGAAGGCAGATTCACGCAGCGAAAGGCCGCCCATGCGTGTGACCTCCTTCTTTTGTGCCTATAGGACCTAAATGAATGGATTCAACTGAGGAGGAAGACTTAGCTTCGAGAGCAGTGGTGACCGGGGAACCTGGGATTCAAGATGCGCCGCAAGAGACGTGCAGCTTCTTCCTCCGTGGTGCCTTCGAGCACCCACGTTCAGTTAAAGAAGGAAATCGGCTTGTTGGACGGTGTGGCCATGATCGTTGGCATCATCATCGGGTCAGGGATTTTCGTTTCCCCCAAAGGTGTTCTCATCGGTGCCGGATCTGCTGGTGTTTCCTTGATCGTATGGATACTCTGTGGGGTCCTCTCCACTATTGGGGCACTTTGCTATGCAGAATTAGGTATGATTCATTGTTTCCTGCTCTCGTCAGTATTGCATCAAAGACATTGAGTGCTCTGAGTGCATTGGAAGTTGTGGGACCTTTTAGGAACGATGATACCGAAGTCTGGAGGGGATTATGCATATTTGGGAGATGCATTCGGGCCTCTTCCAGCATTCATGTTCCTTTGGGTGGCATTGCTTGTCATAAATCCGTCTGCCAATGCCATCATTGCCTTGACTTTCGCCAATTACAGTCTTCAGCCGGTTTTCTCCACGTGTGATCCACCCGAAAAAGCAGTGAGGCTGTTGGCCTTCGTCATCGTGGGTGAGCCTCTTCGCTTCTTCATAAGTGCTGGGAAATTGGGCCTGAGTCATGGTCTAAGCATTTTGTGTGTTTTGTCGTTCTTGCAGTGTTTCTCATATACGTCAACTGCAGGAATGTGCGTTGGGTGACGAGGATTCAAGACATCTTCACAGCGATGAAAATCCTCGCATTAATCCTCATTACCGGGACGGGACTGTATTGTCTGGCGACAGGATCGTCACAATTGACGACGGGACGGGGTTTGTTTGCTGACACCCATTCCGACCCGGGTTCTCTAGCTCTCGCCTTCTACGCTGGCATGTTTTCTTATGCAGGATGGTGAGCATTGACATATTTATCAGGTCACATCTCGATGTCTCTTTGTCCTTGAAGTCCGTTAACTGTTCCATCCCCAACGAAGCATTCAATTCATACCTTACATTTCAGTTGCAACATGAATTTTTCCGATTGGGCTGCATGAAACGCAATAATAGCATCATTATTAATATTTTTGACAGGAACTACCTCAACTTCGTTGTGGAAGAAGTGAAGGATCCATCCGTGTGAGTGCTCTTCATTTCCTTCTTTTTATTCCAATTCGAATACAAGCAGACTGTCAAAGCACTTCATCAGAGTTTAATAGCTGAACAGCGCCTCATTTTCCGCAGGAATCTACCTCGGGCAATTTGGATCTCCTTGCCGCTCGTCACCGTCGTCTACGTCATGGCAAATTTGGCCTATTTCGCAGTTCTGTCGCCAGAGGAAATCCGGGCTTCCAACGCCGTAGCAGTTGTATGTTATGCTTTCCTTATAAATACGAGCGAAAATGTATCTGGAGTTAGATTTACAGAATCCTTGGCATACAACCTTGACATTTCTCGCGATTAATCATGCCAGCAAGAAAGCGTGCATTAATGGCTATTCACCAGGAAGCAAGTACGAAGTGACAGATAGATCAAAATCCGTTGCAAGTTCGTTCAATTTTGTTTCCTTCTTCTGAAGGTGAAGTCGTTAGTGAGGAAAGTTTTAGTTGGGTGCAGCGGAACACATTTTCAAAAACGAAAAAAAAGGGGGGGGGGGGGGAACCGGGGCTCAACTGCTTCCTTTTTCACTTTTCCTCCTACCCGCTTTCGGCTGTCAGTTCTTAAATCCAAATTCCAGGTTTGCATCATGCTTCGTCGTTCCTCTATGCATCATGCAAAACCATCTGAAACACCCCGTTCTCTGCGAGAAGTTGTGACTTAAAAGTGGGAGGAGGCAAATTCGTCGTGTGCTCCCCTCCTCCATGTTCCGCCGCCTCTGCTCTTGACGTATTGTATGCAGACGTTTGGGGATCGAATGTTGGGCTGGGCAGGATGGTTGATGCCCCTTTCAGTGGCTTGCTCCACCTTCGGATCCGTGAATGGAGGCATACTGACGACGTCTAGATTGTTCTTCGCCGGGGGAAGAGCCGGGCATCTCCCACGTGCTTTAGCTCTCATCTCCGTCCAGCATTGTACCCCTATCCCTTCTTTACTTTTTCTGGTTCGTCCCAGCTCTTCTTCCCTAGATTCTCTATCTCCAGAAAACGTCTAAATATGTACCTTTTTCTCTTTCAGGGGTTGGTTACGCTCGTTATGCTGATGATGAGTGACGTATTCGTCCTCATCACGTACATGAGTTTCGTGGAGTCCCTCTTTCGAACATTCTCCATTGCTGCGCTTCTATACCTACGCTGGAGGAGACCTGATCTCCATCGACCCATCAAGGCAGTTTAAATTGACACATTCTCCCTCATCCTCCTGTGAAAATGCCGCCTAATTTTTTAACCCTCCCCAGGTACATTTGGGAATTCCCATTGTCTTCTTGGTGGTTTGTACCATGATGGTCATACTGCCAATCTACAGAAGTCCTTGGGAGGTCGGAATGGGTGTTGCTATCATGCTTACAGGTCTCCCAGCATACTTCGTCGGTGTCTATTGGCAAAATAAACCTTCCTGGGTTCGTAAAATGACAGGTAAGACATTTCTGGCGCTCTCCTCACAATCTTAACCAAAGGCTTTTTGTGATTCACAACTCCCTAGAAGTGTATATTTGGTATACTGGCCCCGGAGTGGGATAGATGAGAAAAGGTTTTAAGGGCCTGTAGTCGATGGTAACCTTTATCAGATCTCACTCCCTCCTAACCAGATGCATCAACAGACCTTTACTTTGCTATTCGCATGCGCAGTACAACAATTCAATGTGGCATGGTTCAAGCGAAACATACCGCCCAAACAGCATGTTTATGTTAATTGTACGTAAACTGAATGTAAATTTTTTGTCCATTTTATATCATTTTTACGCAAACCATTGTCAAGATAATGCCAACATGTTTGCAGAAATGTCACCTCTGTGATACGTAAACAGTGATATAAAATTAACGTGAATTTCACGTAAAATTGACATGCCAGTTTGCATTCCTAACAGTATTTTTACGTTGATTTTACGTAAGATTTATGTTAATTTCCCTCTAGCATTCATGTGTCTTTAACGAGCCAAACAGCACCTTTGAAAATAACTGATATACTGTACCTCCCATTCCCTTCCACACTTCAGAACTCAAGAGTGGTTGGATGAGTACACTCATCCTCATCAGCACTCAATAGTACCAAAACGACCTACCACTTCCTCCTCCCGTACTGGAATCTCGGGAGGAGGAGAAGATGTTCAAGGAGCTCTCTCCCACTTAGGGTAGAGAAAATTTAGTACTTATAAGCTGGGATTCTACTCTTCCCTAATTCCGTGCACTGCTGTAAAAAAAAAATTAACTTCAGCATTTAATGATTCCTGGAATCATATATTATAAAAATATATATAATAATTTCATGATTTCCATATATATATTCATGGGTTGCATAATGAAAAGTGGAAGGATGGTAAGAAAATCTAATATTCTATCAGGAAAGCCAGTACTTAATAGTATTTGTCGGATGCAGGGAACAAGGGTTCCATCTAGTGAGGAATCTTGGTACTGCAACTGCGGGATGGTCAGCTAAAGTTTCATACGGATGGTGTGGCGTTAATTTTGCATAAACTTGANTATCTCACTATGGTACCATATGGGAATCGGTTTGACAGAGGTAATCTTATTCCCATAGACGCTCACTATGAAACCAGATCAGTTTAAAGATGCACGGATCTGGAGCATGTCCAGTCTTTGGATGACATGCACCAGATCCGTGATACGAATCGACCCAATGACCCAACTTGAGCCTAATTATTCTACAGTGTATTCTATATGAACCTCTTGACACAGCATCAGAATAATTATCCTATTGTTTAATCCAAGTTTATTAAAATTGGCCTAGTATCCAAAGCGACCCATTCACTCGCCAAAAGCTTCCTACAAGATTCAAATTTCATTAAAGATAAAAAAGATTACCTGATCTTGGTTGCCAGAATAAGTAGTCTCGATTTGGATCAATTAGTTAAATTGCGTAATTTTGTATCAATCTGGGATGGACACTTTTATATTACGATAACTTTGAAAGCAAAGTATCAATTCGGGCTGACGGGTGAGTTCCAAACGATCTCGGCAGGAAATTATTCCTATGACATAGGGTAAAATACCCAGTGATGGACCGGTCCCCAGTGATGGGCCACAACTCATAAAAATTCCAAAAGCTAAGCTTCCATAGCATGCCCACTCCTGTTATGACATACGCCAGCAGCATGCAAGCACATACACACTTCAGAGGTGTTCATGCTACAAAGGCCTTTTTTTTATTTTCCTACGCCATGGCGGTAGTGACTCATGTACGGGAATTGTCCAGGTAATAACCCACAAAATGGGATCAGGACGCTAAGGATTAAACAATTTGAGTTATGTAGAAGCGGGAAAAGTCGGGAATTCATTACGGAGGCTAAAACACTACTGCAAATGTACTGGTGACACAAGCTCGAAAATGTGCAAGCAGATGTTTTCATATGTCCTCCCACAGCTTTGCCACCTTACACTACTATCAGCAGTGTTCGTCTCTCGTTGCTAACTCAAAAATTGTTCACTTACTTAAGATGGTTATCCATAAGTAGCAGCAAAATGCCTCTAAAATAATACGGCTACACAAGATGTGATGAAGCCAGTACTGTGCATCGATAGGAGGATCGTGGGAACAGTGGAGAAAGTGGCATTAGAGATCAGCATGTTGTTTCCAGTCGCAGCTGTTGATGGCCGACCGCCTTGAAGCCGATCTGTCACTTTCTCCACTTTTGCCACGATTCATTCTGCGACGCTCAGTACTCAAATCGACACACCCATCACTATAAAAGACTTTCATCCGACAATGTATCTATCGGAAGTAATCATTCACTTGTAAGGAGTTCAATCGCTGCTTTCTGCTTGTGATGGACATCATCACATTCCTCCGTTTCGCATCATCACAGTGACGGTGCTCTCTGCAGATGATTCGCTCAACTTCGCAAGGAATTGGATGAGTAGACTTTCATAGACGTACGTGTAAAAGTTCGAACACGGCGTCTATCAACCATGACCTGTTTTATCCTCCGTAATGTAAACCTTACTGGGAGCATAAAAGTGCTTTGTTCGAGTCAAACGGTAACTCATGCTTCCAACAGACTTGCGAAGTTTCATCCAAAATTTTTTCGATAAAAGTCGATGCAGCGAGCGATTACTTAATAGAAGTGAGAAATAAAAAATGGAAGGAAGCCTGTGCTGGGAGTCGCAGGGAGGCAACGCTTTCGCTCTGGGGTCGCATATCGTGAAGCCAACATCGAGCATCTCTTCTATTAAGACTCATTCTTTTGACCAAGTACTTGTGCATGGTTTGCATTAATTTTCTTTCCAATTAGTGACTATTTGAGTCCTTAAATAATCAGTATCAAGAAGAGGAGTTGTTTCAAGTTTCTTCGGATTTTCACATCACTTACTTCGGAGGGAGTGGCAAGCAGAATGAGCTTACTCTGAAGATCTGGACTCCCCCGGTCCATATCTTGCATTTCTGATTTCTTTTAAATAATCGACCTTAGCTTGCTTTGGCCCAATTAATTTTGATGACCTTTTATAAGTCTTCTGGGAACATACCCACCTTTGCACAATTCATGTTTCATGAAAAAATCTCTTCAGTAAAGGAGTTCGAAAGATGGGGGTTTTTTCCCCGTGCCCTGTATTTTTCAGCTTGGCACATTGATATATGGCAGCCTGCCATGCGTTAATGTGACAGCCTGCTATGCGTTAATGTGGCGGCCTGCCATGAAGCTGTTCCTCCCCATTAGGGAGGTGAACATCTGAAAGTATCTGCATGCACATTTTCAAGCTTGTGCCGCAGATAGTTGGTACTGGACAAAATAGGAGGCATTACATTTGGAATGACCCTCGTATTTTCACGAAACAAGCTCAGTTTGCCATTGATATGCTTCCAACAGACTTGCGAAGTTTAATCCAAAAATTTTTCGATAAAAGTCGATGCAGCGAGCGATTACTTAATAGAAGTGAGAAATAAAAAATGGAAGGAAGCCTGTGCTGGGAGTCGCAGGGAGGCAACGCTTTCGCTCTGGGGTCGCATATCGTGGAGCCAACATCGAGCATCTCTTCTATTAAGACTCATTCTTTTGACCAAGTACTTGTGTTTGGTTTGCATTAATTTTCTTTCCAATTAGTGACTATTTGAGTCCTTATATAATCAGTATCAAGAAGAGGAGTTGTTTCAAGTTTCTTCGGATTTTCACATCATTTACTTCGGAGGGAGTGGCAAGCAGAATGAGCTTACTCTGAAAGATCTGGACTCCCCCGGTCCATATCTTGCATTTCTGATTTCTTTTAAATACTCGACCTTAGCTTGCTTTGGCCCAATTAATTTTGATGACCTTTTATAAGTCTGCTGGGAACATACCCACCTTTGCACAATTCATGTTTCATGAAAAAACCTCTTCAGTAAAGGAGTTCGAAAGATGGGGGTTTTTTCCCCGTGCCCTGTATTTTTCAGCTTGGCACATTGATATATGGCAGCCTGCCATGCGTTAATGTGACAGCCTGCTATGCGTTAATGTGGCGGCCTGCCATGAAGCTGTTCCTCCCCATTAGGGAGGTGAATGCTTTCCTGACAAGGCAGGCACATTGATCAACTTCTATTCCGAGAAATGAAAAAAAGTGCATCTCAATGTGAAATGTAAGCAGCTTTTATGTGCTGCTGAATGAGTTAACGCTGCCCAGCGGCAGGACTGAAACTACCCACATTTACCTATCCCTTCATTTGATGGGTTGTTGCTTGACTTGTAGCGATGCGAAAGACATAGACAATGAACTACTAGACACAGGATCGGAAGATGAGGCCATATTGACGGTTCCCTGGATTTGGCAACTATCTTTTCTTTAGAGCAGGGATGCATACAGTGAGACCTGCGAATCGCTGGCTGCCCGAATGAGAACATTTCGAAGCTGGAGTATTTCTACTACGAGGTACCCCGCATCCCTCGTAGCGAGTTTATTCCCACACTGACTCGAACAAGGGTTCCAATTTATGCATTCAGTTATACCCACCCTGGCTTATGCTTTCTGCATTTGATATCTCAGATGAATATGAAAGGGTAGTTTCAAAAACTTCAACCACTGCTTCAAATGCATTAATTTTTCACATTTGATGTATTGAGAATCACAGTGAACTAGCATTTAAGCGCTACTCCTCACCAGGCACTTCACTTCGGCGTGCTCCAACATGACTGAGCGCAGGCGGAAGACAGTCTAAATATGTACAGTATAACTGACTTACACCCCAATTCGTAGATGTCCATATGTGGGAATAAGGCTTCCCTCACCAGGGACAATTAGGGCATCGTCATCTCTGTAAATGCTGTACAGGGATGACGATACCCAAATGATGTACATGCTGAACTTCGTCTGTTGGCTGCCTGGCCTATAGCTTTGTTCGAGTAGCTTTGTCGCGAGACATTTTGAGCCAATCATTAACAGACGATGGCATGTGCAGAGAGACTTCAGCTGGGTTTGTTCTTGGAATGGGTAGTACTTCCAGGTTCTATCTAATACTCCTGGCATGCTAGGTTGATCGCAGAAACAGGTTGTAACAGCTGTTGATGCTCTAGGCCGGCCGTGCACCCCCTGACGAAGCCGGTCGAAAAGCGTAAAAAATCTAGCCTAGAGCTTAGCTTTCTTTTCCTTTATAGTCTTCTTCCGCCTGGACCCCTTTATCTACCTGGCATTTCACAATAGTTTCGAGATACCTGCCGGAGGGCTCGCGTGGGTGCTGGGCTATGGCTGGTCAAGGGCTTGCCCTTCAGTCAGTGAATGTCCATCTTATTATATTCAACGTGGAAGGGGGCAATATAAATACATTGCCCTTCCAGTGATTTTCGCAAGTGTGCCAACTTTTTCCTGGCTTTGAAACATCTCTCTCTCTCTATATATATATACATATATTTTTTCTTTATTTTTATTTTATATACCTCTCATATTGCGTTATTTTGGTGGATTTGTGGCCTGATTGCATTTTTTACGAGTTGATATTTATGCTTTCCTGTAGGCCAAAAGCCTAACTCTTCATTCATTTGAGATGTTCAATGAAAAAAGAAGAGGCTTGCACAGTACTGATTGATATTTTTCACAAATTGTTTGAAATCTAATTTCTAAAATGTTAAACCATCATAATAACACATGGTGAGAGAAAGTTATCACAAACCGACTTTATCACTAAGACTGCCTTCCGTCCGCGGACAGTATTGTCAACTTGACAAAATGAAGTACCCGACGAGGAGCAGCGAGCAGGTTGCTTCTTCACTACGATTTTAGATACGTCGAATTTGAAAAGGTTTCGCGTTGTAAGGGCTGGGATTCTGTTCTTCTAAACTTCACATACTTTTTTCTAATCATTCATATGAGATGTCAGTATAACAAATGAGACTCATTCGATATTGATAGAATATATATATATATATATATATATTTTTTTTTTTTAAACTCACTTTTATTTAGGAAACAGAATATATCCCTTCCTTCACATTGGCGGGAATTTAGTCCCCCTCCCCCCACTTCGCCTTGAGCTTGCTGCGGCCTAAAGTTTTCTCACCTGCCGCTTGTGGTGGCCCATCATTTTTAAAGTCTGCGCACCCCTGTCCTAGGGTCATCTCAAGCGTTTATATTTCTGAAAACCCAGCCTAGAAATTGTATATAAGTGCAAAATTAAATTTAAGAAGGGATACATGATTAACTCCAAAAATGCTTGCAAGGAATGCATTTTCTGGTGGTGAACATGTATCGATAATGGCGGAGGCTTGATTGACTCTCCCGGATACGGTGACTTTCAGAATGAAATTCCTTTGTGCAAAGTTCGAATTGGAATTATTTGAGATTTTCATGCTACTTATTTTGAATTTTAATAACTGTACTGAATCACACGGTATATTATACCAGTTATCAGCAGAATCTGCATAATACTTCCTGAAGTAATTTCTTTCCAAATGTATTCGTGAAATAAAATATTGAGAGACAGTAATACACTATTTAGTTGCTTGCAGCGAAGCTAAGGTCGTTTGTCCCGGATACCATTGTCCTGAATTGCATTTTCTCGCTCTTTTCACTTCAGTGAGCTTGGAGGTTTTATGCCAAAGGTTGCTACTGTGCAGCATGCAGGAAGAAGAGGCGGACACAATCGTCGCCTCAGCCGGGACCTAATCCTTTTTCACCACCCAAGAGTAGGAATGGTTTTTATGATCGAGTGGAAAGCAAGAGCTGCTGCCATGTTATGTGTGCGAGTGCCTTGACAATGGAGGACGTTGTGAGATTGAATGGAAGACAAGGATGAATGCGAACATAATAAAAAGCTATTTCATTGTGGATGTATTTTGTCCTCCCGTTTCATACAAATTGGAATAGGTCAATCCGAAAAGGACACTCATGGGTTGATTCCATACCGGCAAGCATGCAGTGCCATTAGAGAAGGGATCCCGGCAGGATCCTAGAAAGTATTTGATGTATGAGGTATCAATATCAGGCCATGAAATGTCACAGGTGAATCCAGTCAAAGTGGTACCAGTCTATATCTTAGGCCATAAAATCTTTAAATATCGATGGTTAAATATCGATGGATCTCTGCAAAACTGTAGATCTACTTAATTAATTTTTTTTCAGGTCTTTCTCATTTGTAATCTGTACCTATAAATTCACCCCCCCCCCCCAAAAAAAAAAAAAAAAAAAAACCAAAAAATTCCCCCCCCCCCCCCCCCCTCCCCAAAAAAAAAAATTTAAGGAATAAATAATAAAGGTCCCATCTGCAAGCAAGAAGTCTGAGGTCAATGTATGAAAGTGAGACTTCTCAGCTGAAGCTCACGATGCAAGTCAAAAGGTTACTTGTTGAAACCGAGGTGTAGAAGTCTGTGACATTGAGTCTTTTACGTACCTAAACTAGCCATGAATCACAGATGGATCTTCTCTGTCTCCGGAAGAGTAGCACCCGCGTCCTGTCATTCTTTTTGGCGTTTCTCGCAAAAATCCTATTCCCTTAAATGCTCGAGAGTTACTCTTAAAATCAAATGATAATTGCTGCCACTGAAAATTCCAAGTTATCTCTATCAATAAATAGCCCGTCGAACGACCTGCATGCGGCGCATCAGTGCTAAAAACAACCAGACATCCGATGGTACTAGATCAAGGAAAGAAAGAGGAACTTCTTATCGCTGATTTTTGGTTGTCCCCATTACAAGACTGAGACTGACGAGTAAATGCAGAAATAGCTTTTTTCAGTTTTAAGGTTGAGCTGTCTCACCTGCACCACATATACTGCAAGCTAGGATACCAATCACGGATCACTGAACAAGCATTTTGTGGTATTTACGTACTCCTGTCTTTACTCACTACAGAACCTACACTTCTTTTTTTTTATCAAAGTGGGAAAAAAAAACGAATTATATCTTGTCCAGAGAGCTGGAAGCACCAGGACACTCACAACCGGTCAGTATATTAAAAAAGAAATAAGTCAAACGTTTCGGAGGCGTAACGCCTTCGGGGAGTGAACAATCTTCAAAGTTCGGAAAAAATGTTTTCCAACAGCAATTTTTAATAATAATATGGTTGTGTGTCCCTGTGCTTCCGTCTCTTTTAATTTCATTCATTCACTGTATCCATGCGGATCCCGGTCGTGAGGAAGAAAACAGTTTTGTGAGGTTTTCCCGTCTATATCGCTCTCATATATTGTCCACTTCTTATTCACAATAAAATAAGTAGTACAAGATAAGGTACGAGTGGTAGGTACATCACTGGTTGCAGGTGGAAGAATGAAGGATGCAAGTAGTTTCAATTGATTTTAAGAATATGAAATAAAAAACAACAGGATTATTATGGCTTATATTCGACTTTAAAGGAGGATCTAGTCATTGCAACTAAGTAATTAGTACAAGCGAAAAACAGTATGGGAATCCATTGATAAACATATCATCCTTTGTTGACGAAAGCAAAGCTGCTCCTATTTCAGATTATCATTTCCCCAGAAGTTGAAGCAAATCAATGATAGCTCGATGAAAATCATCGAATTTTATCCGGATTCAAGTGAAGTCGAGAGGGGGAGCGTAGAAACCTTTTTTTTACCTTGTTGTAATATAAGACTTTCATTTTGAATGTATAAATTGTACACTTGAAATTTACGCCTTGAAACTGTAGATCCGAATATAAGTGCGGCCCAAAGGTACCACTGTGACCGGATTTGCCCTCACAACTACCCTTAAGATCAGGAAAGTTGAAATCAGAACGCACCTACTCAGGAGAACGAGTGCTGGAAAAAAAAAGGGGATGTTTACGGTAGATTTTTCCCATCGTACAGCGGCCGTAATTGACGCAGCTGCTTTCTCAGGATCCACGAATTCCCTGAGGAAAACATTTTTGCGTGATGCCATCATTTCCAAACGTAACCGAAACAAGTTAGGCCAAGGTAAGTCCAGTAGCGTTCAATTTTTTCCAGTCCTCTTTTGAGTATGCCGTCACAGATGATGCCGGCGAAAAATAAATACGAGGAATGAATGGACAAGAAACAGAATGCCAAAGATGTCAAGAGACGATATGGATCAAGGTTCGGGTAAGGACGTCAAGATGCATTTCTGCTCATAAGGACATCCTGTGTCAGAGTCGAGCGAAGATACCACTGTATGGGTGGAGATGGTGAGTGCCTTGGGAGGAGGAACGACACTCCTGTCCATCGTCCTCCTCAGGCTCCGAGTTTCCAAATATCTCATGTAATAATTAATTAACCGCTGGGCGAATAGTTTTGCGCGTGCTTTGGAGAAATACTTATGAGTACTCTCTGATAACGAGAACCCCGCACGACACCTCTCACCCATATATTGATCGGGATGGGAAAGAGCAATGGAAGAGGGACGAACGATGGAAAAGTTAGTGGGTGAGAACGAAAAGGAGCAGTCGTGACGATCGATAGGGTTTGTTTCTGACTAGAAACGCGTAACGTAGGAGTCCGTCAAAGGCAAACGTGACTCCGCGGAAGCTTTACCCCTTGCTCCCTTCCCATGGGTATCTATGGAAGTTTGCATATTCAAGGGAAAATGTAATCTCTTTTGAGCAAAAAACATGAAACCCCAGAAGGCACTTCTCGCCTAATGTATTGACCTCAAGCGCAAATCTTTGCAGTGGGCGCATTCAGTTGTGACCCGGTCATGACCCAAGGTTCATGGTTTGGGTAGATCCAAGGGTATCAGGAGACGTCATATTGACAACCTCGAGTCAAGGTGTCAATATATCCCTATCCAAACCGTGAACATTGAGTCATGACTGGGTCGCAACTGAATGCCCGCAGATGCCAAACTAATTGTTGACGAGTGATTTAAACAAAATTTTAAATTTTGTGAAGTTTGATGCAGCAGCATTCTCGTTGACAGTGACGAAACTCCGCGTTGACACAGGCAGATTAACAGATGATATTTAAACGATTGCAAAAAGGCTTTGCAAAGATAGGCTTCCAAAAATATACTACGAATGAGTGGATGGCGATGATACTTACATGGACTCACCGTACAGGGCTGAGCATTTGTATAAATGCACAACTGTGGTGCGCACCTTCCGGGGCAGTTCCTGGAACGGAGAGTCAGTCCTTTAATGAATTACGTACGCGGTCCTGTAAATATCTTATTCAGGCTTTTCTCCGCATAAGGAGAAGAGTTCTTTTTTACTACACGGTACCTCTGATAAGGATAGGAGGTCGTTGCTGAATTGGATTGCAGCTGCGATTGAGGACTTCCACGAACTTCCCGTTTGGCCCAGATATAGACGAATAACAGACACCACATGCCCATGACCTCTGGCAATCATGGGACCCAGGAAGGCTTTCGTCGACTACACCAAATTAAAGGGGTGATTTTGAAATACGTCTGAGGTGTCAGATGACACGAATCGCTGCGGGACCTCCGGTAAACTCACCCAGAAACGAGATAAGGCATTAATTAGAAAGTGGCGTTCGATGTCAACGTTTGTTTCAGAGAGGAAATTCTTCTGTAAGTTAATGTAGTCTTGGTCCTCGATGAGGATCTCGATGGGCCCAACCTCCTCCAACACCCTCTTAGCCACTTGATTGATTTCTTCGCGAGAGGATACGTCACACTCGTATGAATAACATACACCTCCTTTCGCTGAGATTCGAAGTGCTGTCTCCTTGATACCTTGGATAGAGAATTGTCCATGCTACTGACTGAAAGTTTATGGATTGAAACGAAAAGCCTGTTTCCTGGCAATATCTGATGCTACTAATATAATTCGTAAAAAGTTGTTTATCGTCATCGCGCGTCGCTATTCAAGACAAATACGTGATCGATATACCTGCTATGTCGCTGTTTAAACATTTATATTTCACGCACGGATACAGACAGAAATATGTGGTAAATTGTATGTTGCAGAGCACTTTGTAAAGTACCTGAGAGCATTAACTCTCACTGAATCGCTCGCGAGTTTGGCTCTAGCTGCTCATCCATCTGCGTCAAAGCTGTCTTGAAGTCGACGATGCATACGTATGACCGACTTCGACTGCATTGAAGTCGGTGGAGAGCAGGTGAAGGCATATAAATTATTTATTCAATGGGTGTTAATGGTTTCGTATATTTTTCATGATGTGCTCTCCCAAGTACAGTTTACCGGATATTCAAAAATGCATTCGTTTGTGAAATATATTCGTTTGAACAACTCACGTTATTTCTAGGACACCCGTACACCTGGCACAGTACCTCTTGTTGAACTCCCCCACACGACGAGCCTGCAACCGAGTCTAGCAAAATGCATGGCCGTGTATCTTCCGTATGTTGAGGACCCTCCGACTACAAGAACGGTCCTTCCCTCGAGCTTCTTGAAATGGAGCTCCGCGTGATGGTAGATGCCAAGCCCGGCCCAAGCCATAAGGCGGCAGGCATATTTGATGGCCACCACCAAGAGTCTGAAGAGGAGGATGAACAAGTTCTTGTAGATTGAGATGGAGAGGGAGAAGGGGGCGAACAGCCTCCGCAAGATGCAGAGAACGAACATGACACAATATTGGAAGGCACAAGACGCACTGAGTGGCAGTCTGTCATCGTGGGATGGCACAGTGACGAAGCAAATTCTGCTTCACTGCCGCACCAGAGGGGGAAGAACTTGACATTCCGATTTTCCTCCTCTCGTGAGTCAAATAAGAAAGTAGTCGGATATGATTTTTTTCCCACAATCACGATATCTCCAATGAAATTATACTAATCATTGAGTTTGATACTGAGCCGTTGAAATAAATGTTCTGGAAAAGTTTACTGCATGAACTCAGTTCGTTCTCGGAACCTAGCTATCAGGACTGATCATTACTTGTGGCACTGAGAATGTGATTAAAATGTGGATGGTACAACAGTTTCTTCTTGTGATATTTTACTTCGAAAAGAAGCTACCTATGACAAGGACCTTCTACTCTTTAAGGGAAAACTTTGAACAATCTTGCAGCATCAATTATGATTTCAGGAGAATCCACGCAATTCAATCCGTTGCCTGGTGATCTTAGAATGATTGCAAGATGTATTCAATGGCATCGACGAAGGTGGACATTCTCATAAGGACATCACAGCAAAATAAAATTTATTAATGAGCCAGAGTGTCCTTTTGGCATGGTGTGGCAGTGATTTGCTACATCGATCGCCCGAGAGGAAATATCTCTTTACTCCCGTCTGTAGGTATGTGATGTTTAATAGCCCCCAGTGGTGAAGGCTGAATCAAAGCTGCGAATCCCGGAGTAACCACTTGGGCCGTAATGGGTCCCTCAAGGCTACTGCTACTTGGATCTTGGATCGGGGGAGAGGAAAATAGCTGGGATTTCAGTGTGAATGTGCATTTATGAGCATACAGCCATACAGCTTGTGCCCGGTCTTATCGTTTGGTGTCGTATCTTAAAAATAAAATTAGACTGTTGCCATAAACTGCATTGCTCACTAAAATTCACTAATAATGCGAGCCAATAGCCAAGAGATGTAGATTTAAAGTTCGTGTAGATTCAAGAAAGAAATGGTAATAGTGTTTAAACAATTAAGGTTATGGAACTGCTAAATTAAAATGCGAATGAATGATTTTCATTCCTGTAGCGAATTTCTTGCAGCAAAGTTTTGAAGTCTTCTGGACTATCATAGCAAGTCGACAGCAATAAATACCCAGCAAACAAGGCTGCGTTGGAGCAACATTGTATCAAAATTTCGAACGTTTATTCAATGTTGATTCAACGTCGATTTGACGTTATGTGTTTCAAATTGTTTGCTGGGTATGGTAGGTAATTTGGCGAAATTATACACGACAGCGCGCATCAGCAGGAAGCCTCTGAAAGCAAAGTTCGAGAAGCATAATAAAGAGAATCACAAAAGTTCTCTGGCTTAGGCAGCAAAGCAAACTGTTTTAATGTCCAAAGAGATTTGCCACAACAGCGGGTAGCTGTAATTAGATGTGAGGTAATTCTAGGAGAGAGCATGTTCCCTCATGACTTAACCCAATATAAGAAATATACACGTACGGGATTATGTCTGTAAGATTTGACAACTAAAAAATTATAATATGAGTTGTAAAAACCATGTCGGATGAAAGCTCTAAGGTTGGCTTTCGAGCCGCATACATTTCTATACAGGGAATAAAGGAAGCTATTAAAAATAAATATCTTCAAATACTTTTCTAGTTCTAGTTGCAGAGCTTCCTTGCCTTCCCTCGGCCTTCCAGTGTCACGCAATGACGACCCTGACTGGCGCTTCCACTCATGATGCGAGAGGGTGGGTAATTGAAAAGGCATTGCATACGCTCTATGTGACGAATTACCGACCTGAGTCTCCTTTTTGAACTGGGAGGTTAGATGTCGCTACTGTCGAGCCTCTAGGATCGCGGCTTTATCCTGCACACACTGCCATTTACGTTGTTTCACGTTTCTCCCGTGCGAGTGCTGCGCTGGCCTGCATATGCTCTTGGGAGGGCAGGCTTTGGTGCTACGCATACCTGACTCTTGACTCCCCTGCATGGCTCCGCTCTGCTTCCTTGGAGTCTACCCCATACGTTCACAGCCGTGCCTCGCACAAATATTCTCGGTGTACCGGTCCCGCTCTCCTTGTGATATCCCCTCATTCATCCCAGTGAGACAAACGCATATCCTATTCCTGCCGCATGATGTGTGAAGATGAACCTGTTTGAGCGCCTACCTAGAGAAATTTGTTTGACATCATGAGAGTTGGACACCACTTTTTGGTCCTTTCTGCCTTATACTGCGGCGTACTTGCTCAACGTCAGCGAGGAAGGCCATCCCCAAATAATGTTCCAGGTGCTCGACCGAATGACATTAATGATCAGGATGTTGTCGATGTTTCCGACAACCGAAGAACTAACGCTAGACCCAATCGATTGGATACGTTTTATGACCAAGGGAAATCAAGTGTTTTCAGCGATCCTGGCGTATCTCAAGGCCATCCGTAAGTCAGCGTTAGTTCAGTCATTACGAAAAAGTTGTTTAGATTGGTAGTGTTCTCATCCTTAAGCTTTTTATCAAGTAGGTTATGCCTGGTATAGAGCTATCCTTAGGAGGTGAGAAGACTATCACTGCTTTTTGGCTGAAAGGGTGACATTGAGTTGAAATTGTATTAGATTTTTCGTGGCATGTTCTGCATCATTAGGAAGGGTAGAATCAGCCTTCTCATTGTATATCTTGGCTGGTGTCATCCCACTTGGATTTTTGGTATTTTTTGTTTCAATAGCATCATGCTTTTCTTCATTAAGGCTTAAGCTCAATGGCATGGTCACATCACTACTAGTCCAGAAAATTGTGTTTGGTTTCAAAGTAGAAACTTTGAGCTCCTTAACTGTAGTCTTGAAAATGTGTTTAGAGTGCTTCCTATGACTATTCCTTTTAGGCTGTGCAATAGGTATTTGATTTACTCTTTACCACTTGACTGAAAGAATGATTCACTTTCAAGCCTCAATAGAATTTAGAAGCAAGGCTGAACCTCTTGTTACACAACTATAAAATTGAGCATATGACAGAAACCTATTTTAAGCCAAAAATAGGTTTCTGTCATATTTCTGCAGAATATGATAAAACCATCAGTGGCAAGCATTTCAATTAGCTTTTGTAATATTCAACTATTGATATTTTCTGACAATTTAATATTCTCTACATGTTTAGTTAGGGATAGTTAGGCCTCTGTTTTGCAGTAATATCTTGTCAAGTTGAACCTCCGGGAAATTGGCCTGTGTTATGGCCATGGTTCATCTCATCCAGTTTTGTTTGTTGCTCCTTTCTTTTGGTTTTTCTTGCTGAGATTTTTTTTTCTTTATAGGTGTGTGTAATGCATATATTATTCTTGCACCTAATGCATAATTATTTAAAGCACAAAAACCTTTTGAGATGCCTTGGAGCTTCAAGTTGCTTCAACTGTGTTCTTATTCCATTATTGCATTTCTAGTATGGTTTGTATTCAGGGCCGTATCTAGGATTTCATTTTGGGGGGGGGGGGGGTGGGGTCTGACATTTTTTTTTTAATGGCTATTTTTTTAATACTTGTCATTGTAAGTCTTTGTGACATATCTGGATTTTCCTGCAAGTTGCAGTGTTTAATAAGTCATGAGCTATTAAAGATAGAAAAGACCTAGTACTGCACTGTTTACACCGACGAATAGCAGTATTGCAAAAATTTAAGGAAGATATTTTGGGGGGGTTTGAACCTCATGAACCCCCCCCCCCCTAAATATGGCCTTGTATTGTATAATTATAATGCTCCACTGACTGCTTTCAAATTTGGAAAAGGTCTAATTCCAGATAGCAGGGTTGAAGGTTGGCAATGGCATTGTATTGTGTGGCATAAGCTCATTTTGTACTTAGTCTTCTGAGGTCAGTTTGGTGATCTTTTTTAGTTGTCAGAAGTAAAAGCTTGGAACACTCTTTTTTCTAAAGGTACTAAAGGTAGACTTCAGCAGTTGTAAACCTTAATTAGATTTGTAGGTCAATTCTATTTTTTTGTTGAAAAAAGTTTTCTCCTGTTTTCTTAAGGTAAGTTTTTCAAGTTTATATGATGATTTTAAGCATCCTCTCCCCTTGCGTTATTTGTGCTTATATCTCCTGTCATCTTTCCTTGTGCATTCTGCATTAGAGCTTTATAGGTAAGTATCTCTGACATGTAGCATGCAACGTATTTATTATATAAGGATTATTTGAGAATGGAAATTATGCTTATTAACATTTGTTGTGAGCAGTATTAAGTTTTCCCTATTTACATACTTCTGCAAGTGTTAAACTTCACCCACTAGAACAGTGTCAGGTAGGTATCAACCTGACTCTGATGTGGCAAGCAGACTTCTTGAGAAACGTGTTGAATCACATATACCATGACTTCATGTCTCTAGAAAGTAATGTTTGCCACCAGTCAATTTGAGTCCTGTAAATAAGGATTTACTAACTCTAACTTGACATATTCTTCTGTAGGAGTATACTACAACTATTAACCAACACTTTTTGAAGTTATTTCATACTTTTGAACCATCACACCTTCATTCTGGCCTATGTAAGATGTGTGCAACATGCCTTAATGGAATATATTATATATATGTATAATGAGTTATATGGTATATATTCTATGCATATGAACTGGTAATGCCAGGCTGTATCTCAGCTGATGCTTCAGGATGACATCATGACACAAATGTATGCATTTACCTGATAAAATGCATGTTGTAATGAAAAAGAGTCTCATGAAGCATATATTTTATGAATAAGATTAATCATTTTATTACTTATATTCTCAGCATAAAGAAGTGGAAGATATTATATGATCTTTTAACTTGTCTGCAATTATGTAAATGGTTAAAAACCAAGCATTCTAGTGAGCCTAATAACAATAGGACTTACAAACTATATTGCAGTAAAGTTTCAACTAATTGGTCTGTGTGCCACTCATTGTGTGGTGCTAATATATACAAAAAATTAAAAATTTCTCTAGTTAGTATAGTTTTGACTTTAGTATTTGGAAGAATAAAATTAAACTTAAAAAATGAAATGTTGAACACCTCTCCAACTCAATTAGGAGTGAACATAATGTTCATATCATAGAGTAGCACCCTATAAGGTGCACAGTGGTGCCAAAGCTAGCAAGTGCCTATCTTCCCTCATTGAGATCCTATTCCAGTGAAATTTGATATCCATGCCTGTAGCCAGAGTCTATCTTCCAGTTAATTTTCAGACAACAAAAAAATGGCCAAGCATACATCATGGTTTAGTTGACAAGGGATGGCCCATCCATCAGGAAAGGTAGCCTGTGACACATCAATATCTTTCCTCTAAATTCCCTCTCTTTTTCTTCATAGCTCATACTTGGTGATTGCTCCAAAAGTGGTGAGACCTGGCAGTGTATATGGAGTAGCAGTTGCTTTAACCAGACAAATGGTATCTATGTCTCTGAGAGCATCGCTTCTCAAGGATGGCACAGAACTTTATCAAGCTTCAGAGGAAATCAATCCTGGAAGACAAGTTCAACTGCTTTTGAAGGTATATATTTACATGGCTGCATTCATTCCAACTCTGTCTCTGGGCTTGAGTTTTGATTTTCAAACATTATTCTAGGTCCCATTCACCAGTGTTGCTGGTTCATACAGGCTGCGAGTGGAAGGAAATGTACATGGCACTACTGGAGGGACAGTCTTTGTTAATGAAACTGCCCTGGAATTTTCTCCTCGATTCCTTACCATTCTCATTCAAACAAATAGACCTGTATACAATGGAGGTCAAATAGGTAAGTGGTGCAGAACCATTGCACTGTATTGTATAGCTTGTTTTCCTTATCATTCTGGTTGATGAAGATGATTAAAGTGAAGTTCTTAAAGCTGGTTTCAATGGAAGTTATGTAAAGAGTTCTCACCAATTCATTAAAAAAATTCTATATTGGAATATTTTCCTTTCAATTTTTCTGTAATTGTTGGTGTTTTCCTATTTTCTGGTAGTGCGATTCAGAGTTGTCTTGCTGACGATGAGTTTGAAGCCATTTGATGATCCAGTTGATATATATGTTCTGGTGAGTTCTTTCCTATTGCATCAATGTCATGTTGAAGATTCATCTAACAGTCTGTTGCACCTGATTTATTTGTGACTGTTTTTTCTACTGAACTAATGACAGGCATATAAGCTATTCAGCCAATATATCACCAATTGGTTCATCAGTCTTCATGAAGAAAAGTTTTTCCCTATGGTCAGGTATTAATGTCTTCCCTTCTTGAATGGGTAGAGTATAGCTACCCTTTTTCAAGCACTAATTGTGCATGGCCTCTGGCATGCATTGAGGAAGTTCTTTATGGCGAGCAATGTTAATGAGTTCAGCCAAAACAAAGTGAAGGTCTAGGGCAGTGGTTTTTAACCCCTGGGTTGCCAAGAGTCTCCAGTGACTGTCCAAATTTTCCTTTATATTCTAGGTCATTCATGCTCCCCAAACATACCTTTCCTCCTATCAGTCATTTAAATGCCAAAAAAATGGCAGTCTGGATTCTAAGCTTATAATAACCATGCTGAGCTAGCATTTGGGTTGCAGCCAAAAATGGTTAAGAACCACTGGCCTAGGGTCTTAGCAATGTTCTAGAATGATTGACTTTGAAGGACAAGGTTGGATATAAAGGAGGAACTCTGGGAGACAGTCATTAACTGTGATGATGGAAAAGAAAATAATGAATCCCTTGTCACAGTTTCAGTGAGAACAAAATCTTTTCTTTGTATCCGTGATTTTTAGTTTTTTTATATGTATTTTTTATTCTCTTTGGATGTAGGATCCCAATGGATTCATTCTGAGAAGATGGCCATCAAGACAGACAAGCAATGGTGAGGCTTGAGAATATATTTGTGTAACACTGTTGTGTATTATATACAGCATTTACTTGATACCTCTTAAGTTCTTAACTGGTTTCAATTATTTATCAAATTTTGCAAAAAGTTAGGTTATTACATTTCTATATAAATGCACTACTTTCCTGTGATTTTCCATTAATTTTTAAACCAAAACTTATGTATTCTGTCTTATGAGATTTTGAGTGTAGCTGAAGGTAGGGAAGAAAAGCCCAAAACCACTTCTATGGTGAGTCTATTTGACCTACCATGTTGCTCATGAGTTTGCATGCACAAAGGTGAAACTTCTGCACTTAAGCTGAATGGGAAAACCTAGCTTAAAGTCAACTTTTTCCAGCTAAATCTAGTTAGACTTGAAAGAAATGTAGCTATGTGTTGGTAACCTGATAGGACTTTCAGCTAGACTTCAAGTTGGGCAGGAATATAATTATGGTCTGGCAACCCTGATATCAAAAAGGAATATCACATCTGTTGGTTAACCGCCATCTGAAAACCTGATAATGGCTGAAAAGCTATGGTATGTGGAAGACGACTGTGCGATTTTGAGAGATCTGCTGATATAAGTGAAGGAAATTTAATATGAAGTCAGTTAGTAAGAGGATGAAACTGGTGTCTCACTATGGCTTCCTAATCTCTTTCTGATTGACAACTTTTTAAATCTGGGTCCTCTCTATATGTAAGAATGTGTGAACCACAGCTGTGTAGCTCATAGATTCATATTACAGCCAGATACATATCCTATTCACTGTCTAATCCATGTGAAGCATGAAACTCTCATCCAAATCCTAAAATTTCAGATATTTCCCCTTATACTTCATCTATCATGGGCATCAGTGAACCATCGTTATGCACTAGTGGATTGTGAGGGTGTAACTTAACAGATCAGCAGACTTGGAGTTTTGGAAACTCCTGCTGTTGCATGCTTAGTCAAAAAAATTAGCTGTATTTGACCTTCAGACAACCAAGTCTGTGAAGAGTTCATGATCATAATCACTTGGACATTATTTAAGAACCAACTCTTTTAGTTTCAGAATGTTTCCTTCTTTCTGTAATATGATCTTTGCTTTGCAGTATTGAAAAAAGTCCAATTTCTAATCATTACTTAAGTTTATGTTGCAGTGTGGTGAGGCTTTTGCTTATGGCCCTTAGAGATTTTACTGTACGATCCATTATAGTTCCTTCAGTATTAATGTGGTATGGACCTTTCATGTCTTGATTCAGTAGATTCTCCTCTGCTTATATCTCTTGAAAGGTGTCCTGAGTCTAAGATTCCAGCTTCCTGAGTATCCAGCTGTTGGTGACTGGGTAATTCAAGCTGTAGCAAATGGTCAAGTTGAGCAGAAGAATATTACTGTGGAGAAGTACTTCCAGCGACGATTTGAGGTAGAGTTTCATGGCTTCTGTATGGGATGAAAACTCATTCCTTCCAGAAATATTTTGTCATAGTCATTACATGAGGGGACATGAAATGGTTAAGGTAAAAAAAAAATTTTTTGAATAATTTTTGCATATGAATCACCCTTAAAAGAGCATTCAGACCCTGTAGGTGCACTACTTTCATACTTTCTTGATGATTCTAATGCTTCTAGTTCTCTCTTCTGGATCCTCTTATTCTTCACCTAAATTAGGCTTTGAATAGGATAGTAAATTGAAAATAGCCATGGAATGAGCCTGACTCATTTTTGGATTAGGGTATCATGAACTAATCCTTAGCTTTATGTGTAATAATGGTATTAGGCAAATTTCATGACGTAAAAAAGGGCATTTTCTCAAAGACATTCCTTTCTTAGCATCATTTTACACCATAGTTGGAAAAAAACTATCAATACCTCCAACTATTGATGATATTGATTTATTGACCCATTGTGACAACCCTACTATTATTGCACTTAGCATTGCATTGCTGCTTCTGGGAAGATGAAAGAATTGGGTCACAATGAACAGTACTTTTTAAACATTCATAAATTCATTGGGGGGGCTTGGCGATCTAGTATGTTATACATGGAATGGTTTTGGTTTACTGAGCTGTAGCAATAAAATTCATTTTCAAAAGTTTCAGTGTAGGGCGAATGCATGATGGAAACTGCATACCTGAAAATTAAAAGTTTTTCAAGTAATGCTATTATGTTCTATTTTTACTGTTTCAAAATGAACTTTTTCCTGAGATAAACAGTTTGGGAATGACAAGTTTCCTGCACTTGTAATTTTAAGAAAGTTCTTCATATGTATGAACTTGCATAAAAGATATCAAAGAACCTGAGTTGAATTTTAGGTGGAATGCCATCCTTACTGACAAACCTGTTGCATTCAAAAGTTGTGACCCAATCCAATACCTAAGGGTCACAGTTCAATGTTGCATTGGGGTTTCAAAAGGCATTTTGCCACAGAGCAATGCCTCTTCCTTATGTCATCAATCCCAGCACAAATGGCTATGGATAAGCCCAGAGCCTCCCAAAATCCATGAACCTTGAGTCATGACCCAGGTGACAGTGTTCCTGCTGAATATTGCATTGATATCTGTGAGGGGGGGGGGGGGCAAAAGTCATGGCAGAAATGTTGGTATGATGCAAGCCTGGTGTGGTGCCAATAAATGTCACTACATATCCAGGGGAAATTTTCCCAAGCGAGGAAAAGATGAAGGGTAAATCTATGCTTAAATTTTTCACAGTGTCTACTCTCATTGTATCTACCTTAACAAGGAAGTCACTGCTTTTCTTTTGCATCCATTCTCACTGACTGCCAGCTCTACTTTGCCCTTGAGCAGTATTTGTGTGGCTGATTCCATTTTCAAGAGATTAGGTTGGGTAAAACCTACCCACTCATTCCCCACCTGTATTTATGTTATGGAACATATATAGTCACATGTTTGGCTGTAACTTGTCAGACTTCCCATGTTGCAGCATTTTTGCATATACAGTGCTTCAATATGCTGAACCATATCTTGTCTAATGCAATTTTGGTTTCTTATAGGTGGCTGTTGAACTACCCACATTTTTCCTGACAACAGATGAGTATGTGACTGGGAAAGTTCTCTCAAACTATACAAATTTCCGTGAAGCTCCTGGCAATCTGACCCTGAGAGTCTATAGTAGAGACACCTTAAGAACAGGTGTTGTAAGGGAGGATCGTTTCTCTCTGATACTTGAAGAACATTTCAGATATGTAAGTCTCTTGTTCCTCATAACTCATCTTAGAAGCCACTGAATTCTGTGAAATATTTGTTTTTGAGTAACTGATTTGAAAGATTTCAGCTGTGCTCATGTTCACATGTGGTTGAAGTTCTTTGAAGGTTACATGTAGATTTTATTTAAAGGGAACTAAAGATAACCTTATGTCATTTAGTTTGATTATGCATTTTTAAAGTTATGAATCCCAGTTCTTGGCCTCAAACATCCTAGATCATGACTAATTATTGGCAGCTGTTGGTTGCAGCAAGGTCAACATGGTTATGTGTTAGTCTCACTGCAATGAAAGACCCTCTGGTTTTTGTCATTAATGAGAGTTGATATAAAAGGGTGGGGAGCTTGCAGCTTTTTAAAACTAAAGTATTGCTTCAAGAAACAGTGAAAACAACAATACCCTCAAAATTCCAAATGGTCTCATTTGAGGAGAACTTTGTCAACACTTAATCAAGTTCCTTGATAACGTGACCAATATTTGCATTTCATTATTGCATTTCAAAGGATGTTGGAGGAGAAGTGAAGCTCATTTCCAATGCTCTTTTCAGTTTCCAGGTTATCACCACTTCAAACTCCCCATGTCTGATCTGAGTTGGCGTATTTCTCGTTTGGATGGTGCAGAAATCCGTGTTGAAGCTACAGTTGGAGAACATTTCCTTCAAATGATTGAACAAGGATTTTCCACAGCAAGGATTATTAACTCTTCAATTGCTCTTCGGTTCTTGGGGAAGTCTCCCTTCATTTTCAAGCCTGGCATGCCCATCCTCCTTCATGTGAGTTGAAATTTATTTGTTTAATTTATATTCTTGGTTTTTCAATAATTCCTGTCATATGATCAAACATAAATTGTTATGACTAAATACCAAATCAAATGGAGGCCTTTATTCAGCATTGGGCAAAAAATGGTTGCTATGATGTTAATAATATGATTGTTGTTGATATATCTCAGCTATTAAAAAATGAGAGGTGGTGTTTCTTCATTCTCAATTTTTTTCCTTCTGATTAGCTGGAGGTCTCATACCATGATCTGCAACCTCTAACAAAAGAGATGCTGAATAGCGCAGAATTGGTCATAGAAGCTGGTGCACATGGGATTGAGGACAAATTTTACAGAGGTCTTGAGTCAGGAGTGATCACTGTGAAATTGGATATTCCTGACTCCATGAATAGTGAAATGAGAGTCAGAGCTAGATATTATGATCATTATGGCCAGTCTGCAGAGACTGACATCCTTGGCTTCCCATCTCATGCCATGCGAAATCAATACATACATATCTTCTCCAGCACACAATTGGGCAACATTGGAGAGTTTGCCATCTTCCATGTCAGGAGCAATTTCTACATGGAGTCATTCCACTATCTTGTAAGGAATCCTGTCATGGTTTGAGGTTATTCTATTCCCTTCTTTGTCCAGGAAACCCCACCATAAATGTTATTTTCTTTTAGGTGTTCTCAAAAGACATCTTGTTGTATGCAGCAACAGAAACAATAAGGGATGTTAGCATCCCATCAGTGGCCACCTTAAGCATTCCCATCAGCTCAGAGATGGCACCTACATTCACTGTGGTTGTTTATCATATGGCTGTGTCAGGTGAAGTCTTGGCAGATAGTGTAATGCTCCCTGTGAATGCCTTGAATCGCCAGAATGTGAGTACTCTCAGAACTTCTACATGTGTAGTGGTACTTAAGAGAATTTTTCAGAATGACAGTTGTGACTTATGTTTGCCACCTGCCATTTTCTCTGTAGGTCCTGTTACAAGTCAATCAAGCCAAAGACCACAGCGGCAGAACAGTAGAACTCATCTTACAGGGTGAAATCGGAGCACACTTCTGTGTCTCTGGCCTGCGAGAAGGCTCTTATTCTCTTCAAAGTGGACATGAGTTGTCTGCATCCTCCATCCTTCAAGAGTTGAGCTCTTTTGATGAACGGAATCGAACAGTACAAAGAGCAGTGTTTCGATTCCGCAATGGACAGTCAGATGAAAGCATTCTGCTTCCTACTCCCAATTATGGTCCTGATGCAAACCGCACATTTGCCTTGTCTCGGCTTGTTGTCCTCTCAGATCACCCCCTTCCCTCATTACTTGATCCAAATCGAAACTTCTGCAACGAGAGCTTAGGATATCTTCAGTGCCTGATGGGTCCTTGCTACCTGTACATTCAGAAATGTGATGGCCACTTTGACTGCCCAGATCGATCTGATGAAGCTGACTGTGAGTTTACATGGATGAATTACCTTTTTACTGTTCATTGTGGATAAGTATATTATAATAAAAAAATCCTTTTATATTATCACTTTTATTTATACAGGTGATGACTTTATGGATGACCTGCGAGATTTCCGCCTTCAAAGAAATAATAGACTGTGGAGATTCTATGATGCTGAGTATGGTGATTGGGCCTGGACAGAAGTGAAGAGTGTGGGGAATGAAATCTTTCCAGTCCAAGTACCTAAGAGACCTGAGGTGTGGATGATGAGTGTCTTTGCTGTGGGAAAGGAGAAAGGATTGAGCATCATGCAACATCCAATTCGAGTGAGTGTAGTGTAGCATGATTTTGAGTGGTATTTTCTCTTTGCCTATTTTTTATCGTCATCAATAACTAATTACCTCTGACATTTTACTTCAGTTTCATGGTACAACTCCTTTCCTGATCACTGCTGAAGCCCCAAAAGTATGTCGACAAGGAGAACAAGTTGGGATTCGAGTAGCTGTTTTCAATCATCTTCTAATTGAAACAGAGGCCCTTGTCACACTGCACCATTCTTTCAAGTACAAATTTGTACATGTTGAAAAAGGTGGAGTAGTGAGATCATATAACCCAAGAACTTCACATGGAAACATTCAACACCTGGTGTGGGTAGGTCTCCCCTTTGCAGTCTTAGTTTTGATTGATGTGATCTTGATTTTTCTGATGTTAGGGGAATTCAAATATTCTTTTAACTTCCACAACTTGACACTTGCTCATTTTTTTCCAGATTCCTCCCCAAACTAGTATGGACATATACTTCCCTATTGTTCCAACAGTGAAGGAAGAAATTCAAGTCTTCATCAGTGGTATTACCCAGGTTGGACAAGACACAGAGACTGTTAACATCACAGTTTTGGTGGGTTGAGGCTTACTTTTATGGCCAGACTCCTCCCATATTGTTGCTTGAAAGAGCATGGCTTCATTCACAATATCATTTAACAGGCTGAGGGATGCCCCAGCAGGAACCACACTTCTGTTATGTTGGACTTGAAGAATCGAGCCACAGTGTTCCAGTTCCTGGACATTGTTGTGGAAGAATCACCATTAATAAAATATCAGAACTGGAGACGCTACATATATGGCACTCCCAAGGCAACAATCTCCATTTTTGGTATGCACATGTGATAGTTATATGTCAAAGAATTTTAAAATTGTGTCTCCCTATGCATCAGCAATTCATTGTGTGCTCAATGGTTGTGAATGCTTGATCGCCAGGTGATGTTGTTGCCCCAGCATTCCCACAAATTCCAATGAATGTAGAAGCTGCATTCCCAATCTATCATTGGCTGAGTGCTGATTCCTCTGTCTACGATTTTGGCTCAAATCTCTGGACCCTTCATTACCTTCGTCTCACCAATCAATTGAAGTTATCTACATCAAAGAAAGTTTTCGAGTTCATGAGTGTTTACTATGCTGCCATCATGAACTATCGAAACCACAATGGATCATTTAGCATGTGGATGAATAGTACATCCAGTGTTTGGTGTGTAGTTTCCTCTTATTTTCCTTTTGCTTAGATTTCCTGCAAGTTTTTTCAATAGTTGAGCTGGTTTGCTGATTCTGTATTGCCTTCTACCTTTTATTTCTAGGTTAACTTCCCACATTGTGCAGACATTGTATGCAGGAGTATTCCAAGATTGGGAAAATTTCTTGTACATTGATCCAGAAGTTATTTCTTCAGCTGTTGAATGGCTTTTGGATCACCAGACTCTAGATGGCTCTTTTCATGAAACCCCTGAATATGAAACACCTCTTGATTTGAACATGGTGCCTGGGGTAAGTCCTAGTTCCTGCTATTCCTGGTATTCTCAGGCTTCAAATCCGGATATTCAGCTATAAACTATGAATCCATTTTCAGCGATGGAACCAGAACATATCACTCACTGCTCATGTCCTCATCACACTGGCACAGACATTGGAAGCTCTTCCTGGGGAAGTGAGAGGACGTGCAGCCAATGGGAAACGACAGGCTACTCATTACCTCGAGTTGCATTTATCCTCTGTGCATGACACATATGAATTGGCCATCTTGACTTATGCACTCTCCATTGCCAACAGTGGGGAAAAGGAGTTGGCTTTCAGGAAATTGGATGCCATAAAAATAGAACAAGATGGGCTCATTTACTGGGCCAGTGAACCTATCTACTTATATAAGTACAAATATGAGAATAATCGTCCATTCATACAAGCCAAAGATCCATCTCCTTGGGACACAAATGCTGTTGGTAAGGCAATATCTAAGGTTTAGCCATATGAAAGGCATTTAGGTTTGTAACTTGGCAACCTATGCCCTAATTGTGTTCATGGAAATGCATGAAACTTCTGGTTTTTGTTTTTCTTTACTATTCTTTATTTTTTTTTCTTCCAATTTTTATCAATCTAGATGAAACATATATTCCTGTTTCAGGTGCAACTGCTTATGCCCTTCTTGTCTACCTGGCTCGAGAAGGCGTTACTGTAATCCAGGAGAGGATTGTAGAATGGTTTCAGCTGATGAGGAAGTTTGATAGTGCCTTTGGCTCCACTGCTGTGAGTAAAAATAATTGTATTTATTCCTGTTTGCTTGGATAACACCTACCCAACATCCTCAGTCTTGGTTTGCCTCTCTCCCTTCTGCTGCCAACAGGACACCCTTGTTGCTCTACAAGCCTTGACAGAGTATTCCTTCAGAGCTCGTCTGCGTGACATCACTGATATGACCGTGAAGTTTGAGGCCTCTGCATCCAACTTTTCTAAATCTGTCACTCTGGGTCCAAATGGACTCTCAAAGCTTCAGATATTTGATGTAAGCCTCTGAGGGACACTTTCCTTGTACATTGCTGCTGTAGACCTATCCCATAGTGAGACAGACACATAATTGTGTTCTCATTCTTAGTTGGAGAATGTTTGGGGTCAAGTGAATGTGATTGGGAAGGGAGCTGGCCAAGCTGTAGTACAACTGGATGTTACATGGGGGGTTGACTGGCCAAATGAGATCCAAAAGCCCCTTGAGAAGGCGTTCGATCTGCAAGTTTACACAGCTTATTCTGGGAGGAATTCTTCTCATATGCATGTGAAAGCATGCACCAGGTATGTTTCAGAATGTGGATGAAATCATTTCACCTCAAGTTTGCCAAAGTTTGAGAGGTTTTTTCCTGAGTATGTAAGAATTCAATTGCATTTTTCATGCAGATGCACTATGATGGAAATAGGATACAACCAAAATGTTAGGCCTCTATGTAGCAGGGCCCAAGATAGGGGGATCTGAAATTTGGCTCTGAGTCAAAACATGGTCCCCAGACTCAAAATACTTTTTTTATTGTCAAAAAGTGTTGGCTGATAGCTCAAATTAGAGCTGAAAGGCAAAAGAATAAAATAATTTGGGTATAATTGACTTAGATTTAAGTTAAACTAATGGTTTTAATTTATAAACTATTTTTCAAATCCAAAAGTTTTAACACCATGATTCAACCTGTGGAAATTGCAACAGCTGTGTCAAAATTGAGGTGAAATTAGATAATTCTCCTAATAACCATCATGCAAACTGAATTTAAAGTTTTATTATTTATATTTTCAGTGATATATACTCATTTAATCATGAGATTTATTGAAGATTGATGGGTCATTCAATCTCAGATGTGGCAAAGTCTGGGAGGTTTTGGCTAAGGCCTTGCCAGAGTTCAATTGAATTTATGATGTGGAAGGGTTGTACTGAAAAAATAGCTTTAATTTGGGTTTTACATCAACTCAGTCAAAAAACAAGGAGATTGGCTTTTGAGAAATTTTTTTTCCTCTGAGGTCAAGTTCCAAATATTGTCCTGCAGTTTCCATTTAGAGACCTGAGGTTTTTAGCTGTTCTTAATATATTATTTCTGCATGTCAAAATTTCCTGAATATGGTCAAGCACTGACCATTGGCATACTTGAGATGGAATGACCCAAGTATATTTTCTCGATAATGTATTGAAATCTTCAATCACCAAGATTGAATAAAAGTGCAGCATGCAAGATGTGTACCTCAGTTCATACTGTTATGCTTTTTAGGTGGGTGGGCTCCTATGCTGAGAACAGTGGAGTAGCTGTTGTACAAATAGATACTCCAACAGGCTACAAAATCTTACAACCAGATCTGATAAAATATGTTGACTCTCAACTTGTGCCAAAGTTGAAATGGGCTTATGCAGCTGATGAGGGAACATCATTTTACTTTTACTCTGTGAGTTCCAGAAATAATCATGGATTATTTAACTTATTTTATGCAGTATATTGAAATCATGTTTTGTTGGTTCCAGCTGAATCGAACTGAAACATGCTTCAATTACACAATCCAGAGGTGGTATCCAGTGGCAAACATGAGCCGATATTTGAGTGCAAGGGCATATGAACTTTATGCTCCAGGTGAGTGTGACTTCTCAAATATTTCCTGAGTACTTTCATTTTCTGTCAATTTCACTGATGATTATTTTTCCTCTTACAGAGAGATTCAATCTCACAGTTGTGGAAATGATAGACTTGTATTCATTGCATGTCTGTGCTGTTTGTGGATCCTTCCAGTGTCCATATTGTCCAACATACAGCTCAGCTCCTCGCCTAGTCGAACATCAGCCATGGCTGCTCAGTTGTGTCATCCTTCTTGCCATAGTCAACTTGGTACTTGGTTTCCATGGGTCAACATTATGAGCTGCAAAATGCAAAAATTCAGTTTTATCTTCCAGATATTGCCATAACCCAAATGCAATCTCAGAGTGTCCTTTATGGTGAATGAGTGCTTTGCCACCTCTTGTTTCTAGGATTTCAGTTGTCCTTTTTGCAGTGTCATTATTGCAATGCGACATTAGTTCATAGTTCTCCCATTTATATCACTTGGAAATGGAAATAATGAAGATTGTACCATGTTGAGCTTCCCTGTGCTTCAAGTTGCAGGTAGCTCTTAGCCAGCCCTAGTCTACACAGAGATCAAATGCATTGCTGTATTATGATGAACTCATCATTCCAGATTCACCTGAGACATTCCTCTTCCTTCTCAGAATCTCAACTTTCTTGTACTTTCATAATTTTGTCCAAAGTATGAGCACCTACTTATGATGGTCTGTACTTGTATTGTTCACAAACGCACAATTTAAATGTGGCATTTGTTTTTGTTTGCTGTGATGTGGTTCATTAGGAGTTTCCCTAGTGATTTTCATGAAAAAGTTCTGTCCACAAAATGCCCATTTCATCTAACCAAAGACAATCATGCTCTATTTTAAATCTGAGAACCCATATCCTGCTGTTGATCTTGTTGAGAATGGCATTCCAGTTAGGAAGCCAATCATTTATGAACACTTGACTCCCATATGAACACATTAGTTAGGATGAATCTCATGAGTCTATGTTCTCCACAATATTGTAAGAAGTGCCTTTCCTCTCCCGTCACTATTTGTATTCTCATACATGACTGCCAATTGCTATGATTTTTCCATCCACTGTTCAAGAATTTTCTACTTTGTGCTCAATGGATCTCAAATTTTTTCTGACCAAAGGATGCACTGAAAGCTCTTTATCTTGTATCTTTTTTTTCTGTTTTTATATGGCCTACCTCTCACTTTTTATGAGTGTATGCTTTTTCTCAAGGAGGAAATAAAGAATCAAATTTTCCTATCGCATCTCACTTCTCTTCAGCTCCAGCATCCAGAACTTTTATTTATTGTTGCCTTGTTATTTATTGTTGCCTTGTGTTCAGCCGGCAGATGATGTCAACCCAAGTGAAAGATGAGATTAAGGCTACTAAGCAGTGGCGGCTTGTCAGGAGAAGCAACGGGAAATTCTCTGGAGGCACTGCCCCATACAATTTGGAAATATCCATTTGGATATCAAATAAATCTCAGAATCATTGGATTCATTCTCAATTGACGCCAAACGAACGAAGTCCGGTCTCTTGATAGTTGACTCCTGCCTAAAATTGCATATGGGAGGCCAGAGCCTTCTGGCTTCCCCTGGCTCATAATGCATTGGGGTATCCAGTAGCGCTAGAAATAGAAGTATACAAGAGCAGGGTGGCCGACCCCAGCGTCTGTCTGCATTGCGTATGAGGGGGTGCCTGCTTATGCTAGCAAGATCACTTTCCGGATTGAATTCGTACCACTCCCCTGTAGTGGAGAAAGTTTTCAGAGGTTCCGCCTCATCAGGTGGTAGACGTAACAAAATGTGTTAGATGGCACTACCTGCAATCAATGGAATCGCTCCTATGAAGGGTACGAACAGTGGCGTAGGGAAGGGGGGGGGGGGGGGGTTTAGGGGGTCAAACCTCCCCCCCCTTGGGCTTCCTGGTCAGTGACAGTCAGGCATATTTCAGCCTTCCTTAGGAATTCCAGTTTTAACTATCCCCCTTCGAGAAAAGTTTAATGTTCATCCACAGACCCAAGATGCTAGACCACGATTTTTTCAAAAAGGTAAATTCCGGGTGGTGGAGCTAAGCGTAGGGTTGGGGTGTCTACCTAGCTTCAACCCCCCCCCCCTGCCGATTTTCTGCCTACGCCACTGGGTACGAATTCCAGCCAGAAACTGTGTATCATGTCTGTAGGTTCCTTAGCCTTAAGCAGAGATCTGTTCGGTCATCTGAATTCGCATTGCCAATGTGTATCTACACAGTTGGATGAAAAAGACACAAGATATGCATAATCATGATATTAGCTAGGTGTGCATTGCGATTTTGATGCAATTTTGTTTAGAAGTTCTGAAACTCGCAAGGAGAGAAAGCCCTCAAAGGAGAGAAGACCATAACTTTTCTCATCTTTTCACCAACTTTTCTCGCACTTAAAATCTCACTGTGTTGTTCGACGGAGTTTCAATTGCCGCTCTGCTTTTGCACGATATCGATACAATTTAAGCTGTCAGCATGAAACAGTTTCTCACTCAGGGAATGATCCAAGCACACCTTTCGTGCTTCATGCTCCCATAAATTCTACAATGAATTATTGTTCATTATAAAGATTATGTGCTGGCCTCCCCAGATTTTTCGTGCACGAGCCGCCACTGCAACTGAGCCTGGTTTTCAAGATTCAGAATAGTGATATCAAGAGGCGATTCACCCATTTCGATATCACGTGTTGGGGTCGAGCGTTCCTTAATTTTAGGGTAGGCCTAACCCTCTTAAAGCTAAATATTTTTGTATTGTTTTTTTTTTTTTGACTATCCTAGTTGCTTACTGTCTAGTACCTAACGTCAGTCAACATTGCCCCCCACCTTTTGCATGTCCATGAAAGCATCCAGTTTCTTCTTAAAGATAGTCACAGAAGGGCAGCCACTACTTCGTCATCTAACGCATTCCACCACTCTGCAAGTAAAGAANATCCAATTTAACATCGCTGAACGCGACGAGAGACCTACCGTTATTTCGGCCGACGTGGAGAACTTTACACTTACTTTTATTAAACCTCATGAGCCATTTCCTGCTCCACTCGTCCAAAAGGACTTAGATCTCGCTCGGCTCTAGCCCTATCCGTCTCCCCCCTTATGGTAAAACCTATCTTGGAGTCGTCGGGCAAATTTACTTATTTTACCTTCTACGCAGAGATCCAAATCGTTTATGTAGACCAAAAACAGAAGCGGTCCAAGGACCGAGCCTTGAGGGACACCGCTTGCGACTCCGACCTCCTTCGACGCTTCCCCATTCATCATGCGTTGCTCTCGTCCTGCCAACCAGCTACAGATCCACTCGCTCGTCCTACCCTGCCTCCAGTTTAACCCGCAACCTCTGGTGAGGAACGGTATCGAAAGCTTTCGCGAAATCTAAATAGACAATCTCCACGGGATTCCCTTCATCCCTCTCTTCCGTCGCCCAGTCGTGGAATTCGAGCAAATCGGTGAGAATTTCGCCGCCTCCTAAAGCCGTGTTGAGAGTCCCGCGTTTCCTATGAGGAAATCCAAGATATGGTCCCATGCTCTCCATGATCTTCCCTGGGATACTCGTGAGACTTCCCGGCCCGTAATTTCCTGGATTGCTCTTTTCGCCCTTCTTAAAGATCGGTACGACGTTTGCTATTTGCGTTTGTTGATCTTTAGCACACGGTGATATGTTAAGGATATTCTAATAGAGAAGGAAGTGGCGACATAAATTGGTGAGTCACTTTGATGTGACTTTGCTTGTAGAGGCTAAAACGTCGGTTTGGGCCTCCTCGGGCTCACAGCGTACGTTTTTGTTTTCACATGTACCGGTTTAATCCTTCCATAGGAACAATTCCTACATCAAAGTAAATCCCATTGAGTCACTGAGGGAGAGTAGATATTCAATTCGAATTTACAACACTCATGGATGTAAGGTGGGTGTCTGCGACCTTGAAAGCGAACTAGACACGTGGGGTGACTTCTTGTTCCTGGAATGCTGCATGTCCCGTGACTCCCATGACTCTCGCTGTGTATAATTGAAGAAAAAAGTCCGTTTCAGCCGTGACTTTAGATTGCATCTTATAAAAATGGGAAAATAATGGAGTTCGTTAACGTTGTGTGATTCAGCCTGGTCGGAGTTGGTGGACTTGAGATTGGAGATTTCGTGTTACGGAGGAGGCTCCGAACAGCGTGGGGCGGAGAATTAACGTACGAGTGCGCATCGAATATGGCGTCACAGTAGGGATTGGGTCTTACTCCTGTGATGCTCTCCTTGACCGGCTGCATTAGTCACGTAAATTTTAGGCCTATGCTTTATCCATCGGCTAGAATGAGGATTGTCTTATGAGTAATTGAAGGAGCATAGAATTTGACCGAACATTACGACGTGGAACTGCTGGAAGGAATTTTAATATCTAGATTTGACGCCTTATAAGTCAGCAATCCCGGCGATTTCTTTGCTTTTGTGCACTTCACAATGCTGCAGATGCATTTGACTTCATGCACCATTTAAACATGACGTCGAGTAGCATTTCATTCATCCTGGCTACAAATAAACCGACTTAGTTTGTGATGTGCCTTTTCGTTTGGTGGGAGGGCATCCAGGGTAGCATAACTGCTATTCTGCAAAGCCTTCCTATTTGCCTGCAATTTAAGAGCAAGGGCTGGCAGCCCTATGGGTTACGACACAGACGTTAATACTGAATGTTGTGCATTCAATCCCTTTCTTGCATGATTTTTTTTTCTTTCACATCAACTGCCCTCTGATCACTTTAGCATCCCTTTTCTGGACATCATATCAACTCTTAAATATAAAATCTCTATAATAAAAAAAAGTACTCCCGTCGCATAGATGGTTTCCTCAACCCTGTTTTTAAACTTGCCTTTGAAACCAGCAACAGTAACAAATTCTTTTTTCCATGTCTAGGTTTTTCAACTCTTGAACAACATCAACTCAGTATGGAGGAAAGGGTATACATTTTGCACATCTATGTAGTTTTGTCACAGAAAGCCCAGTCTCCTGTGACATTCTGCTGAGAGAATTTCTTGGTCATCGTGTAATTCACCATTGGATGCCATAAGGAATTGCTTCCTTTAGCTCTGATGGATGTCCACTCCTTTTCTTGTCCGCCATGCTGCCTACATCACAAAAATGCTGCACTATCTATACAATTGTGATTTAGTTTGGAGCTTTCACATTGTGAAATTTATGTTTGAACTCTTCTTGGCACTGTTTAAAAAGATTTTGAAGCAAAATATGCCTTCACAATGAACACACTGCTGCTTCATGAACAACATGTTCACAATTCCAGTTTCTTGTGACTGGGACTTTGCAAAAAACAGGTTCAAACAAGTTGTGTGCATACAGAGTTGCCAACTCCTTGCACTAAACTCATCACTCAATTCATTTTCATCTTTAAAAATTAACTGATGTGTAGATATTCCAGGGAATATACAACAGCACTTGTTTATATAGAGCAGTGGTTCCCAACCTCGGGTCGCAACCCAAATTAGGGTCACGTGGGGTTCTCAGTAGGGTCGCGAAGGGTCATCAGAAGAAAAATTTTTTTTGCAAAATGCATCATATTTCCTTATGAAGATATTTATATACATATTTAAATTTTATTATAAGCCTGAGGGTCGGGAGGTCCTGTTGGTGGCCAAGTTAGGGTCGCAGCAAAAAAAGGTTGGGAACCACTGATATAGAGGGTTGCACAGCTTTTGAAAGACCCTGTGGAAAAGCTTGAATACTAGTTTGTATGAATGACAGATAAGCAGTAAATCTGCCCCCAATAATTGTATTTCACACTAAAGTTAAAATAGGTGATAAATATTTTAAAATGCTTTTATTTTTAAAACATTGAACAAATCTCATTTATAATGACCAGTTTTGTACTTGTACATTCAAGAGTGGAACATCCTTGAGAATGCTTGTTTTTTTGCAGAAAATTTTAAAATCTGTCCCTCTTGGGATACATAGTTGAAGCAGCAAGATTCTCCTCAGCAAGGAAGTTCAGAAGGCAGACTGTGATCATGCAAGACCCTGGGTTTCCTGCCTCTCACACAACTTCCACAACAGTAACGTCAAGTACGACAAAAGTCAGCCCGAGTATCAGATATGATGCATCTTACATTAGGACTCTTCCTGGTATCCTCAAGGGTGCTGCCATGGTAAGTATAATTCATGCTTCAGCTCCCTTCATTGCCTTCGGAAAAAAGGAAACTATTGATGCAGCTCTGGGGATTTGCCTTTCAACTTTGACATGTATCCTTGATTTGGGTCTGAAAATGCTGCCCTTTTGCAATCTGTGAGGAATACTTATCATAATTGCCAGGGATGCAACTCTTAGCCTAATTGGGGATGTCAGGTTGAGATGCAAAAATGTTCAAGCTTTCCCTTTCTATTCACATAAATGCTTTGTTGTGTTTTACTAATTGTAGTGCTTACTTTCTTTTCCAGTTGACGAACATCATTGGCTTCATCTGCGTCATGGTCTCTGAATTAAACTATGTCAGCCGAGCCAACTGGTTCAATTTTGTTGCCATGGGTGGCTTTTGGATCACTGGGATACTTCTTGTCTTCTATCTGTTCCATATCATTGAGAAGTTCTACATGATAAATTGGCTGAAAATTGTAAGTCATGATATTTCCTTTTCATCTTCATTTTCTTTTCATTCTTCATCAGTTTCATATCCATTTGTTTTCTTTGTTAATTTCAATCACTTATCCATGCAGTACCAATTACCAGTATGTCTGACAAACTTGTGACACAATAGAATTTAGTTAAATATGAGGTTCTCTAATATCTCAACTTCAAGGTTGCTTATCGTTTCTTCAACAGGAATTTGGCTACTGTGCATTGTGGAGTTTTTTCTACATGACTGCATCTATTGCTGTTGCTGCAGGTGGCCTGGAGGCATGGGCTGCTGCTGCTGTATGTGCTTAATGTTCTTCCTGTCAGCTTAAATCATGATAATGTTTTACAACAAAAAAATTTGGTCCTTAAAAATATAAATGAGCTCTCTGCTTGGAATATACACATGTAGCTCATTTTCATAAATGCGTGTGAGATTTTTTAGTTACCAAAATGGTAAATAATCATATAAATCACCTAAGTTCAAAGGCAGCACTTGCCACTTCTACTGTTCTGTAATTATTTGGTGAAACATGAAAATATCTCTCTTCCTGGTCTGAAAGGGAGATCATGAACATTGGTGAATATGAGACCTACTTTTATAGGTGTTAGCAATGAGCCAGTCACCCTTTCCCATCATCATAGAGGAATTCTGGCCAATTATGTGCACTTTCTTATGAATAGCTCCTGCAGAAGGTCATAAAGATCAGAAGTGAGGCCCTCATAATACATTGATCACCAAAAATAAGTGCTTCACCATAAAAATGTATTTCTTTGATTTGACCAATGCATTGCATATGCTTTTGCTATATAGGAAGAAATTATTATTCGTCATCCCTCGAGTGATTGTTTAAGAATAATAAGGGTAATCTCTGTAGAATATGAACCTTTTTAAAATCCAATTTAATTGTGGGCTGTCATTTTGAAAAATCACATTTTCATTTTGCCATGTCATGAAGGCCATAAGAGGAAGAACAAAATAATACAGATATGTACACAATTGTACATCTGTGTATTGTTTCTGTTATAAAGATTTTCATCTTACATCTGATTTTAAAATTAATTTTGATGCGCATTTTCCTTGTATCTAAAGTACTTATATAAAAATAAATGATTTAAAAATAAAGCTTATACTTAAATAACTAGCAATATCAATCAACAATAATCTCCATATAAATTACCTTTGATCATAAGTGTCATATAATTCAAAATTTGTGAGCATTAATTTACCTAAGTAAGGTGGTTTTATAAACCTAAAATGATGCAATAATTTCTTAGCCAACACTGTGTCCTCACCTGATCGAGATAAGTTTACAAACTTCTTGTTTTAGTTTTCTCAAAGATGTCAAGTATTTGTTTATTTATGCTTGTTTCACATGAAAATGAATGAAAGTGCATGCTCGATTTCTTGCCCGCATTAAAAATGGAATGAATGAAAACTCTGGAGTGAAACACCAAGTCTGCCAGTGCCTGCTTGAAACTTGAGGTTTTTTAAGTTTTAAAATGTAAAAATTCACAATTGTGCATATTTACTCAACATCATTGCTTCAATCTTCCAATTTTCAATTACATTTTGTAAAAACTCTTTTCAAAACATTATAGCAACTGGCAACTTTCATCTTTAGAACTCTTTGACTTCTTAAAATACTTGCATGAAAAATGGTGGGGAAATCTGATGAATTTTCATTTTTTGTTTAGTTACTAGTTCTTGTGTTCACTTGGCATCTCCAAGAGACTCAAACTTTGAGGTTTACTTGGTCAGGTGTGGAGGACTAAAGGGCTTGGACCTCTGACCCTCATGGTCTTATTCTACAAAAGTTTAAGGTAGCACTCATAATTACCTTGGTCTCCTCTAGGATGATAGGGATGCACCTGTAAAAATATCAGAAAGTCCATCATTTGCCTTTTACACCTTGAGTAAGTCTGAGAAATTGGCTCTTAAAATGTTAAGTGTTGTGCAAATGGAAGTTTAGTGAATATGGAAGTTAAGTAATGCTTCCTTTAATTACTTCATTAGCTGTTTAACATGTCATTACTGCAGATACAATAACTTTCTCAATTCCTTGGATAATATTGGTGAATAGCACTGAACTTACAAGTTGCTGGTTTCTTGGCATTGAATTTTGTGATTCTTTTTCTTTTTTCATAGTTCTTTGGATTCGTTGCCATGGCTATATATGGCTTTGATGCATACCTGAAATTCAAAGGCTGGCGTTCTGGGCAGATAGCTCAGGGAGAAAGGACAGTCGCTACTGCATCAAGCACAGTCACTTCTCCAACATACTAAAGGCCCTCTAATATGTGTCATATCTTGGATTTCCCCAGTCTGTGCCCTCAGTCTCATTGAATTCAACCTGCCTACCTATAACACTTTATGCTGACATATACTTCTTAGTCTCTGCAATGTGAAAGCCATGATATAGTATTTTTTCATTTTCACTAATGCTTCTTATGCAACTGGCAATTGATTGTCCTTTGTCTTCCAATATTAGCTAAGCCTATTGATTTATTTTTTTTTTCGCCAGAGTTCAAGTTCCTTTACATGTGAAGGAGTGAATTCTCCAATGTTTTTTGCTCAGAATTGATACTGGATCATTGATAGAATCTCATTCAGGGGCATACATAGTGATGCCATTTTCCTTGTTCTTTTTGCACATAGCAATGTCACATTTTGTAGATTTTGCATTTGACATCCCAATTGTGGAGATGTCAGTTGTCAAATCTGGCATTTTGATCCATGCAATACATTAGGGAGTATGGAGAGGCCATGTTAGGACTTGAGGTTTTTCATGCTTTTCTGGTAATTTCTATTGTAGAATACCATTTTGATATTGATCTGACATTTAGCATAGTGTCATGACTAGTATGATGTATTGAATCTTTATTTTACATGTACTTTCAGGATTGTCATACCTTAACTCATCAAGGTTGTTAATAAAATTTCTTTTTACAGTGTAAGAATTTTGATGAGGTGAATACATTTGGATACTGGTATCTGGGAATATACCATGTAGCTCTTTGTGAATTTAAACTACAATACAGTCTTGGGATCTTTGCCAGTTATGTACCAGTGGAAGGAATTGCTTTGTAGCAGTTTCATTCTCAGGGCTTTTATTTATGCTTCAGTCCCTAGTGGCTCATGCACTAGGGGCTATTCTCTCACATGTCCTCTCCAGACTCCCATTAAGGTGCTGTATATTGTCGATGCAACACTATTCGTGGTGGCTTATCAAGTCAGTTCAAAAAGTTCAAAATACTGCTTCTTTCATGGTATCCAATTCACTGATCATGGAGTATGCCAACTGTATCATCAAGAAGTATGTGCAGGTTGAGGCAGATAGTAAGCATCTCCATCAGTTGACTCCTAGTCTTGCATCCGGAATCCAGATGAGAGAAATCTTTTTGAATGATACTCGTATTTGCAGCTGCGGTAAGCATTGATCTGCATTTTGAATGCATTTGTTTGCACAATACTTGGATTGCATGCTGTTGTGAAGAGCATTCCAGATCCTTCAGTATGATGATCACAGAGCTCGCTATATCCTCAAGGAGTCACTGTGGGAGAATACATTCCCATTCAAATATAACTTCGATGTTGTGTAGTGTTGTGTGTGTTATTGACATCATCACTGCCAGTGTTGTCCTGTCGCCCCCCCACCCCCCCCCCACGTGTGCGAACAAAAGCCCAACCAAAGACAGGAAATCTCAGTGTGCTCTCTGGAACTTCTTGCTATATCTCTCATGCTTGCTCTCTGTTGATCATGTCCATGACATTGCTTGCAAGAGAGTCACTGGAGGTTCACTATGGAAATGGAAAAGTCAAGCAGCCAAGTGTAGGACTAGGATTCAAGAAACCTAGGTAGCTGATAGCAGAAGTACAAGCCTTGATTTATTCATTTTTCAATGCTGCAGTTCATTTGGAATGTAAGGATATCAGATGCCATTTTTGTACAGTATCATCACCTTTTGTTTATCCTTAGTGCGTCTAATATTTTCATGATAATATATACCAAATTGTGTTGAGAAAGTATTTATTTTTATGATGCCTAGTTGCAACTACCAGTGCCTCATTTCATTGTATTTATACAGCATGTGTGAAGTCTGTCTTAACCCTCTGAACCCAACGGTCTTGATGCCCCTTTAAAAATATCCATGCAAAGTGGCATGCTTTGTATTAAATTGAACAGTAGTAAGCCCAGAAGAATCTCCATTGCATTCTCATGGTCTAGATGATGGTTATCGATGTGTACTATGACTGAACAACTCTCGCAACATTGTTGAGTTTTAGCCCTTGGTGCTCTCATTCTTGAATCTCTGCTGCACTTTCTTTGCATGTGATCACAATTTGCACTGGCTTCATGAGTTGTGTGATTAATGCATCTTCCTTTCAGAATCTTTTATAATGCCCATGTACAAGTTAGATATTTTTGTGTTTTCATGTGTAATAAGTCAGTCATTATTCTACACGAGATAAAAAGGGATTGTTGATGGACTAAGGATCTCCTGCACTCTTGTTCAGGTTATGGGAAGTAAGGATGCCTGTTCACACTCATGTCCAGGAATCAATCACCCACCCGTTAAAAATTGATTTCTTGATTGTTTTACGTTGAAACTAATTTGAGTAGACCCTTTTATGTGATCAATCTTGCCATGAGTTTCCTTTGTTAATACTTGTACTGGTTCAAGCAAGCAATAAAAAAAAGCGAGGAGTTGCTGATCAATTGTCTTTTTCAATCATTGATTTTGAATCCAAAGAAAGGCGCAAAGGCCTTCATGATTCTCAAGAACTATGATACAATTCTTATCCAGGGGAGTCCATAAAGAGAAATATGCTGATCCCTGTTCCCAATGGAAAATGAGAGAACTGAATCTGGTGTTGGTGTCTCCATCAAATGTAGATACCATCGAGAGATTGAAATGCTGGAGTATTTGTGGGTGTGGTGGTTTAAACTGTCCAATATCCCGCCCTTATGTCTCCGTTGGTTCAGGTAAACCCTTCGATAGTCAAGCAGGTGAAGGAATCAAGATTGACAGCAGCTTATTTTATAATGCCAGTTTGTAGTGAAATATTCACGGGCCGACTTGGAGCGTTTTGGTTCGTGGAGTCGGACTTGCGTATGGCTTTTGGGACCCGTAGCCTTAGTGCAGTCCGCGTTTTCATTACCAGGTCAAGGAGAAATAGACACCGTTTACCTTTGGTAGAAATTGCCTGCTCCGAGTATTTTTCTTGAACAAAACTGAGTTATCATTGTTCAATCAGCACGTCAGTGTTCGTCCGAGTATATGCCCCCTTGTCTTAAGTCTTACCCATCTTTGCTATTATGATGTGTGAACTTGACGCTCTCTGGTACGGTAGTGCTTTCGCGCTGAGTTCACACTATTTTAATGCAAGTCAGTTTCCTATGGGCCTATCAACAGCAGAGGAACTGTTTCCCGCGGTCGTTGGATTGACGTGAACCAGTATATGAGAGCAATCCGCGTAGCTTCATCGGTCAATTAGGTCCTGTCGTGTTGTTATGTTTGTCTTTATCGATACTACGGGCTTTCCACGGGAATTAATAATAACAGTTGAAAATATAAAAAATGTGAGGATTTTGTGCGGTCAACGTTACATCTGCAGATGTCGGGTGAGACATTGGAACAAGAAGGTTCCCTGACCCCAAAGTGTGATAGCGACAAATCGCCGACACCACGAGTGTGCCTCATGTATGCAAACGGCATGCGTCCCCGGTACTTTTGAAACGGTACTTGATATTTTCTCTGCAGACTACAAACTGGGGAAGGTTCTTGAATTCAACGAAAGAGGCAACCCAATCCATAGAGACCCAGGATGATTCTGAGCCTGGGAATGGAGAGAAGGTCCACGTGGTGATCTGACTCCATTGGACCTCGAAAGATCCATATCTATCTTTTCAGTTCGAGCGGAAGGCTCCATAGAGTGATTACCATCCATCTTTTCCTTAGCTGTAATCATTCTATCGTCCTCTTGCTTCCACGAGACCGGGGTGCCTCTTTCTTATCTCGCTTGGTCTATATCAAAATGGGAGAGAGCCATCTTAAATTTCGACATCGGAAAAGGTTGAGATCACACTGATAAAGCATCCGCAGCGTAATCTTAACAATTTAACGGCGCATGCATGGGAAGTCATAAGCCTGTTGAGACGTGGTTGAGACCTGTCTCATGTCAACATTGAGACAATGTTGATTCAATGTGACAATGTTCTTCAACTTTGACTCGACTTGATGGCTGTTGATACTTCAATGCTATTACAACGTTGCATCAATATTGTGTAGATTGGGATGCGTAAAATAATTTGAAACTATTTTCAGCCAGGTACACGAAAAATAAACCTGATTCCCTTCAGGAGTTTCTTCATGGGGCGTAATTAATAACAATCAGGATGCGAAGTAAAAGAACTGTAAGCGGAATGGGGAGGCACTGTCACTCTTGCTATCACATGAATGCTGTGGAGGCGGCGACTGTGGTCGGATGTGGTCTTGCAACAGTGTCACACTTTCTTGGGGAAAATATGGAGATAATAAATGATTAAGTGTCTAATTTTATTGATTGCTATAATGGAACTAGGAGACACACATGATGAGGTACTAAACACTCCTGTGAGAGATGATTCCATGGAAAAGGGGAAGTGGACTTTTGTGTACTGTGTGAAAAGCGAGACCAATACCTCCATCTAGTGGCCCGAAGGAGAACTGCAACATTTCCAAAATACTTCCAAGTGCGGTCGGGCACATTGGATCATCGCGTCGGTCCAATATTGGATCGATTATGGAATGGCAATATTGGCAATTTTGCCCAAGATGTAGCCAACGTACCCAATGTCGGTGCAGCATTGAGCCAATATCTGGTGCTAATGGGGTCGGTCATTTCCTGAAAAAAATAATTGCATTCCCAATTTGACGATGCATGCTTCATGATACCACCATAAATATTATTTTTTAATTCGATTTAAGAAGGTATCATAATGCCATAACGCTGCTAAGACAGTCACGCAACGTTGGACTTTGAATTTCAACGTTGATGACACTGGATTGACACCGGCTGAACGTTCTTATAACGCCACTATGTTTGCTGAGTGAATATTAGATAAAACTTCAAGGACCATCCTTCATTTCCCATGTAATGTAAGTTTATTCTTCATGTAAGCTTTTTTTTCTAAAATCATGTGTAAGCTAGAGAATTCGAGGAATAAAATTGGTTACCTCTTTATGGGACACCTCGTACAGGGTGACCCAGAAAAAAAAGGACACACTTTTCAATGCGCATTTTAGGTGTGATGTTTTCAATGATTTTTTTCCGGTTACGTGTAATGAAAAGAAGAAAGACTCAGCTAAAAAAAAAAGGCTTTTAAGAGAAAGCTAAAACGAAGAGAAAAAAAAAATTGAATTTCGGTTACAAAAAAAAAAATCAGTGTTGCACACCCCAACTCGACCCAGCATCCCCTCAACGGCCCGGCACTCACGAGAAGCGAAAAGGGAAGCGCTGACCTCAGCAGACGTCGCGAGGATGATTGCATGTGCCTGCCGTATGCTGTCTCTGAGCGCAACGCCGATTACTCGTAACCGAAATTCAATATTTTTTGAGTCACCGTTTAGATATTTCAAGTGTGAAAAAAGCATTTTTTAAGCTGAGTCTTTCTTCTTTTCATTACTGTACATGTAACCGGAAAAAATATCCGGGAAGGCATCACACCTAACATGCGCATTGGAAGGTGTGCCTTTTATTTTGGACCTCTCGAGTAATTCTGTCATTGTCAAAGTTTTCTAAGGGAAAAACTCGAGTACTGCGCGAGAAGTACTCGGGTCTCATCCCAGAGGCATCAGGTAATGTAAGGCTGCATCGAAGACTTAGGCGCCATCTCGCGTCAGTTATCTGAACCGTATTTTCTAGAGAAGCTGCTACACGTGGCTTGCCTGTAACCCTTTTTTAAGCATCCCAGATAACACGTAACGTTGGCGGCACGTGAATGCTAGGGAACGATGTTGGTCCAATGTGAGCCCAAACTTGGGCATATCCTATCCCCACTTTAAGAACTACAGAAATCCTGGTGGAGAACTTTAAGTTGTTGAAGTTCTCCACCAGGCCACTAGATGGAGATGTGGGCCTCTCCTTTCATACATTACACAAAAATTCCCTTCCCTCTTTCCCTGGAATCGTCCCTCGCAGGAGTATTTAGTACCTCGCCATATGTCTCGCCTAGTCTCATTATTGGAATCAATAAACGCGGACACTTCATCATTTTTATCCACATATTCAAGACAGATTCATGGAGCCCAGGCCATAAACAAGCCCTTATTCGTTCTAAGAACTTTTTGTAAAATGAAGGTGATCGTGATTGAAAAGGAAATGCAGGAAATGTATTGCATTCTTGAATCTAAATTCTGCTGTTTCCTCGTCCTGATAGCAGAATGAGGATATGATGAAGTGATTTTGTAATTGCCTCATAGTATTGCCCTGGACCAGCGTGGGTTTCACGAAATATGTAATCTGGGATTATTGCAACTTTCATCTTGACAAAACACCTTCAACGCTGCCGCTACATTTAACGCAAATATAAATGCTAAACTGCTATTTCCACGTTCAACGTTTTTGTTTATAGCGCCTCCAAGAGGGAATATTTTATTTTATGCTAACGTTAATATGTTAACTCAATCAACACATTTCAACTGTTGCGCCAACACTGATTTTTGTTAGGAATTTTCTTTATATACCCCATAGGCTTACTTATGATGATACTTTTGCATTATTGTTACAAGTACCCAGGTAGCACACAACGTTGGCCCACGTTGGCTACGAGCGGGGGAGCGTGGGCCCACATCGCAGTGGGCTGCCCATGTAGGCCCCACATCGGCGCTAGGACGGCAACCAATATTTGTCATGTCTCAGAATGAGAAATCTGTCTCAGCTATTTGAACATAAAGCTTCCCACAGATGATGCGAGATGGCACCTATGTAGCCGCTATTTCAGTTTGATCAGGGAGTGACTGATTAATTTAAGACCCCAGTACCTGTCATGCGGTACTTGATCTTTTCTCACAGAGAACATAGTGGAAGACACTCGAATTTCTCAAATCATTTGGTTAAACAGGTTAAGCAGTCCAAGGAGACTCCTGTTAATCGTGGAGGAGGCATGGTTCAAATTGAGGCTTCTCTGGATAGGGCGAGGATGAAGCAGTATGTTATATTACGATTGTAGAGATTGCGTCCGACTTCCTTTCAGGAGTAGGTTCGGGTGTGACAAAAGGAATGATCACTCGAATCATACCGGATAAGCACATCCGCAAAGCAAAAGAGCTCTCTGAGTGATGAATGAAATCACAATGGAGCTTAAATCCCGTGCGGAAGTGCAGGAAGCCCTACTTCCAGCCTGACCGAGAGAGACTCGGTCGCAAGGTCCTCGGTAGAGGTGATGAGCAATCATGTACAAACGTAGAATCTCAATCGAAACCTCTTTTAATCGCCTGAATGTCATGCCGCACGTCGGCATTTGATGTTGGTCCCTTATCGCCAACGTGGTATTCCAGCATAGGCCAAACGTTGGACCAACGTGGGTGTGCTACCGGGGCCGAGAAAGATAGTGTTTTGTTGCGTTACAACTACTTCGCTTACACGCTACAGAGTATTCGGCACATACACCATTTTTCTTCATGAAATGTAATTTTTAGCGCTTTTAAATTTAGGAATTCAAAGTTCATCGTACTCTAAACCAATCCTCTCCAATATACAATCGACGCTCGATATAACGAACTCGAAGGGACAGGCTAAAAAATGTTATAAGGAAAGTTCATTATAGGGAATTCCCTACATTTCGCTGGGGAATAAAGATAAATAATATTATTATATTATGAATTACCCTAAGTCAGTGGCGTATTTTGGCTGAAGAGTCAGGCGGGGCAGGGCAGCATAATGGGGACGCCAAACCTCACCCGAGCGATACCAGGGGAGAAAATGATTACCTCCAAGGGGGCGCCAAGCTCTGTCCCACGGGCGCAAAGGGGGGGGGGGGGGTCCCCCCCCCCCCCAAACCCTAAAAA